CAGCCGCATGCAGTTTTATTTTTGAATTATTATATCCGATTGGACATCGAATTTTTGCATGACATAATGCCCCGCATGTCACTCAACCTTATCCGAGTCCTGGAACGTTAACTATCTAACCGTAACGGCAGAGGATTTCGGTTTGATCCTTCAATCAAATACGGTACCAGGAGTCGCCAGCCTCAGCCTCAGTTCGGTTGTACGGCTCACCTCACCCCCGGATGCGACATCCTAGGAAGCGAATCAGGCGATAGGAACGTTATGCGAAGTATCACAGGTACACCTTATCGGGCTCTGAATCTACGGTACTCACGTGTTCAATTATAGCAGCTACTTACGATGGAAACGACGCCTGCAATCTTATGCGATAGGAATAGAATACACATACCTTTCGGAAGGGCGACGGCGTTCATAACGGCTTCTGACCAAGCAAAATAATTATTTTGGCTTCCATTATGCCCTTCAAATAAATAAGTTGTGGTGCACGACCGAAGAGATGGTATGAGCTTATGCTGATCAGAGGTATGTAAAGGAAAGAATTGTGACGATAACGACTGTGGTAAATATCAAATGATATACCAAGGATGCAAATGCAAATGCGAATATGAATGAGTGAACGACGATGCGAGGTATCCAAGTTTCCTGGACGTCCTGGCAGATGAAATGTAGACTTGTAGTTGTAAATTGCGGTGATGCGAATAAGTCCATGAAGTGAGGTGAATTAACTAAGCAATTGGAAGGAACGGGAAGCTGTCGAAGGCGTCTAAGCCCGCAACATGGTTTGAAAGCGCGAATAGCTGATGCGATCATGCAATGGCAAGCGGGTAAGCTGCTAGATATGATCCGTCAGGGATTCCATAAATAAAATACGTTATGATATCGTACATACCATAAAGATTGGCCGGATCAAGTGTTTCGAAACGGACGCAGCTTCTCCAGTACGTTTTCCATGCTAGACTGAGGGTCGAGCGTGTGATCGGTCGGCAGAGGATGTGCCATAAGTGCTCCAGATGTCACTGACGACATCGATGACGATGAGATCCGACGTAGGGCCCGAGAAGCACGCCGTTCTCCTTTCGTCTGTTGACGTTCCGCTCGGCTGGTCTCTCCCTGCTGTTCCGGGATGGCTGATAAAGATGAGGTCGTCGATGAAGCCAGCATCGGAAGACACAGAGAAGAATGCGAAGACGAGGCAGAGGCAACAATGCCAAGTTCTGGAAAGGGTGGTTCCAGGGATGCCCCAGACGGGCTAGATTGGTCCAGATAATCAAGGCCAAGTCCTCTACGAGAGCCAACAGACGCGTTTGTTGTCGGTGGACGTGCGCTCTGGGACGGAGTCTCACCACGCGTTGAATCCATGACCCACGCAGCGTCGGTTCCATTTCCATCATCCAACGTGATCAAAGAAGCTCGTGCCAGGCTCTCCGCCGCATCAATATCGTCTGCACCACCATTGTGTATGACGAGCCAGCGCAAACCCTCTATCTCTCTGACCTTTTTTCGGATCTCTCGCTCCAGCATCTGAATGGTCTTGGACATGGATGCCTTTTCGTCCTCAAATTTCTTGGTTATAGTGACGGCATATTCTTGAAGTTGAGCATACTTTCTATTCTGTAAGGCAAGCGCATTCCTGAGGTCATCCTCGGATGCGAGTAGCTGAGGATCTGCAGGGGCGTGTTTGTTTTGTGGGCTCGGTCTAGGAGCCATCCACGCCGCAAGCCTAGCCGAACTCAGCGAGGTCGCTGCCGATACAGTGTTAGCTCGCGGTCGTGGCACTATACCCGGGGAGTGAACAGTCGAGTTGAAGGAAGCATTGTCGGTAGGGGTAACTGGCAACGAGTTTATCGGTAGCCTGGGTGCAAACCGAGCTGAGAGCGGTGGCGAAGGTAGGGGGGCAGAAGGAGGAGGGCCGCTGGATAATTTCTCTGAGGAAGAGGGCGCACGCTGCAAAGGAGCGGGTCGCTTCATAGCCGATGCCTTTGGCAATGTGCTGTGATGTCTAACTCTCCTGCTACGCACACTACTGTCTGTAGCACGAGACGCATCTGTATCGCTTCCCGAAAGACTGAATGCGCGAGCACGATCGCTTTCATCTTCGGAAGGAACACCGGCGGTACCAACGCGGTCGCTCCGACGTCCACGAGATATCGAGAAGCGATGTTGAGGGCTCGTGGCTGGCAGCTTAAGGCTGCTACTAGAGTGTTTGCTTGAAGGAGTGGTTGGCTCTGTTTTAGATGATCCCTGCGAATATCGAGAAGATGACTTCTCGCTCGCCATCGAAGTGAGGCCAAAATTCGAAGGAGGGATGGGGAATTGGAGGCGAGGGGTTGATGGAGGAGTGGGACTAGCGGGTGTTAAAGGTGTAACAGAACTGGGTTCCGCACACTTTTTTGAACTGTTCGCAGCGTTGACAACAACGGGTGGCAGGGTAGAAGCTTTTTGAGCAGACTTGGTCGGTTTTGAAGGATGCTCTGGAAGTGTAAACAAATCAGAAAAATCATCCATCAGTTCGTAGTAAGGAGCGTTTTCTGTAGGGGGTTGAACAAGCGGTTTTGGTGTGGTGGATCGGCTGTTTACAGTGCTGGAGCTGTGAGATTCGAGGGAAGTAGCATGACAATCAGCTACAGAGAGGGAGAGAGTGGCGGACGAATGAGTGGGAGGGGTGTTTGTTGACTTGTACGATGAAGAGTATCGTGCCTTGAGAGTTTTGCTAGGAGATCGTAAAGGAGAGAAATGGGCGGCAAATTTGGAGCCCAATGACGGCGGCGACACGTTCAATGGAGGAAGGGTAGAAGGAAGCCTTTTGTGGGACGGAGAACCATCTACAGTTGTCAAGAGCCTACAGCGATATGCGATCAGTATTTCATATAAAAAGCAAACAATGGTTTTGGCAAAAAAGTGAATTTACAGTCAGGACTGTGACTTATACGCCTTGTTTCTATGTATAGTCGGATGTACGATGAGCAGATATATAAGCATATATGCCGACATTGTAGACCAACTCATCCCCGTTTGGCCCATCAACGAGAGATCGTTCCTTGACTGAACGACACGTTCGATCATCAACCTAAACCAGATGAAAAACTCACTCTTTGCCGGATCCCGAAGGAGAGTTGGTAGACTTTCTAGGCAAAGCTGAAGATGAAGCAAATGGTCGCTCGGTCTTCTTCCTTCCGAGGAAGGGCAGCATAGAGCGCCTAGACTTGGGCTTTTCTTCGGATGGGGTGTCTGTAAGAGCGCCAGTTTTGGGAAGCTGACGCGAACCATGCGAGCTGCGGAAGATGTCTGAGAAATCTGCCGTCCTGGTTCGTGAGCGTGGTGGAGTTGGAATGCCAGTCATGATGAGGTCGAACGAGGGCGAACGACTGTAGAAAAAAACAAGCCGGTAAACGAGAGCTTTATGCCAGGCGCGTATTTCAAAACTAAAATGCTTACAATTGCCAAGAATTTTAACCGAAATGCGGGCCCGGGACCGACAGGAGGGCGCTGATTAATTGAACGGGGATTCTGAAGGAGGAATGATGAGTGGAAGATATAGTATCAGTGAACTTCGAAAGCCGACGAGAGTGCAATTGTCATGGAGGAGAAAGCAGAAAGAAAAGCGACGGGGCGTACAACGGGAAGATGTAAAAGATTTATTTCAGCACAAGCACGGCCCTGCCAATATGGCAAAATCCCGTCCGTGCAATATATAACGTTTCTTCTGGAATCTGCGGCTTCTTCGATGTTCCTCAGTTATCGTCATTTTCGATCAGTACGTCACGAGTCACATAAAACTTTGGACTCTGAAGGCCGATTGAAACGCTCGAGATAAGAAAAAGAACAACGAAATGAAGCAGACATGTGGCATTCTCATGGGAAGAACAAAAAAAGGGAACCAAAGGGCGCTAAGGCGTCTAATTCTATAGTTACTTTTGGAGCTCAAGAAGGCTCCGCAGCAACTTCAAACAACCCCAATCCAGGGGGGCAGCTAGGCTCGTGACCAGCCTGGCCTAATACAGACGGATTGGGTTTAACCAGCAGGCATCCTCAAATTCTGGCGTGCGGCCGCCAATACTACTGATGCTAGTGAACCATACGCGCTTCCTGACTTCTTGCAACCCCATGGCGCAACAGTGGTTTGACCAACTACGAGCGATGGGCGCCGGGCTTCGAACGTGCAACCAATCACTGCATGAATAGCCTGTGAATGTGTCAGACCATCGAAGACGTTATCAAAGTCATCGCCCGGCATTGGGCAAAGATCGCACTACTCATCGACATTTGCGGATGGACGAAACCTACATATCAGAATCTCGGGACCTAGTACTAAAGTCTAGCGGCCTCCGATGCAAGTATAACCATGAGTTTAACTCTTTCTGAGCATTTTCCATTGGCGTCGCGGGTCATTCCGGACAGGTACTCATGATGTGCGATGGCACGGATAATCATGATAGTAAAGTGAAACGCGGCAGCCCACTGCCAGTGGGTACGTGTTTGTGTCGTCGCTCCAGGTGCAACTTCTATTAGCGCTGTTCGTACAAGATAATGGGCTGGGGCTCGAGGATATGAAACATACAAGAAAGCTAGTGGGGAAGTTCCTGCTGGCAGAGATCAGTTTGATGGCCGTTTGGGTCGGGGCCATTAATATTGCTCTAGAAGTTTCAGAACGATAAGTAAGGTGATCATAGCGTAGTGAGTACCCGAAAGATGCATGAGCGGCTAACTTACAAGCGGAGTTGAAAACCACACTGCACCTTCTGGAAATTACTATAGGACATAGAACGTCTGGTTCGAGAATCCGATGGGAGTACTCATGGCAACTCGACATTGAACGCATCGGCCGGTTTCATTTGGAACCTGCCAAGCACTTAGCAGTCTGCGTTACAAAAGTCAATCCAAGGAAAGCAGTACACTATACAACATGTGCAACTCGAAGGAAGAAATGTATCATATCAACCCCAGCGTAAAATTACATGTCATAAGTAAAGGATACGGTGGGTACCAATTCAATGCTATGCAGCTGCGTAACAAACACATAATATAAGTACAACCAGTAACAATCATTTCCTTCAAGACCCAGAAGAGCCTGGACCGCTGTCCCCTTGCGAAGTCTCTGGGTTCTCAATCACCTGACAAAGTTCGACATCCAAGGCCTGCACAACGCGTAGCACAGCATCAAAGTCAGCCTGTGAACATATCCCCAGACACGCCCATGCTGCCTGTTTCCACTCCAACGATTCCACAGCCTGATGCACATCTCTAGCGAGATCCAACAGCTCATTGTCCGGAACACCGTTATCCCCTCGCAGATGCTGCCTAGTCACTGTCACGAGGTCTGGCAGTACGTCAATCGAGAAGGATGTCGGTAGCTCTCTCCACATTGTCCTGACGCATAACCGCCACTTCTTTTGGACAGGGCTAAGAGGAAGAGCCTTGTCTGAGGGATCAGTAAATGCGAAGATTCCAGCAAGGTAGCATCTGAGAACCCATGGCTCGTGTTCAAGGGCTTGATTGACTAGAGAAGTGCACCGCGTGAGATGTCCATCACGGGTCAGACGTTCATGCCACTCGTCGTTCATTGCCAAGGCAAATATGAGGCGGGCATAGCAGCAGTCTCGAGTGTAGTGGAAAGAGGCATTGGGACGACTATTGTCGTGGATTGGCTGGTCATCATTTGGATATACGACAGTGAAAAGAGCGCGAGAAAGCTCATCTAGGAGTCCTGTATCCACACCCTGTGGCATCGAGCCACTTGTAATAGAAGCCAGGTCTGCTCGAGCGTCAGAAACAGCTCTCAGCGCAGCATGCCGGACGCGGTGGGGTCTGGTGGGGCCCATACAGCGGATAAGCGCCGTGATGTAGGAACGTCATTTGAAAGAGCTCCCTAGTCCGTGCATGGCACTCAGTGCGAGCAGAGCATCACCTTCTGTTTCATCGTCTCCTTTTTGACCTGCTTCACCTGCTAGGTAACCGATGAGCCAGTCAAAATCTCCACAGCTGGGTATGCGTCCGTCACCGTGGCACCAGCGCAGATCACCAAACCAAATCAAGCGCTCATCGTCCGGAAGTGAAAACCAATCGGAACGCCCATGGACAACCATCGTTCTGAGAGCGGTGCGTGCGTCAGCCTGATGCTTCTGTCGAATGTCCTCTTGTTGTGTACTCATGAACTGCAGGCAGGCGTTACGGCTGTCCATGAACGCATCGCGAATAAACCGGCTCTTGCCTCCCCAATGATCTTGGGTATGTCTGGGTTTCCAACGAAGGTATCGAGGGATTTCCAGCGACTGGCTGCAAAAATGGGCCATGGCTTTAACATACTTCACAAATGCTTCCTCCATGTCAAGACACGCCTCGAAGTTATCACGGAAGCGTGTATAGATTACGGAAGTATCGAAATCTTGCGGCCATTGCACGTGAGGTACCATCCCAGCTGCAGCCTCGAAGAATTCCAGGTTCGTGGATATGTTTAATATCCAGCGTATAGCGGACAATTTGATGGGTGTGTCATCAGGAGTCACAGTCGATGTGTCCCATGTGTTGGATATGTCCCATCTGTATGGAAGGAAATGCTCGCAGACAGCTAGAGATTTTTTGTAGATAGCTCCCACCATCTCAGATCCTGGGGTTTGGAAAGGACTGTCTGGATACAACCTTGACAAGAGGATGGTACTTGCATAGAAAAAGATACCAGACGCCATGGTGCAGATAATGACGCTAGATATCGTCTTTTGCTGGATCCACACGTTGGCGCAGAGGGACAAACCAAACAGCAGTAGCGAGATCTGGAGGAGGATGAGGAACGTCTGCAAGACGGTCTGGAGGTGAAAACGCTCTAATCCATCCAGTTTCTTCTGCCTCTGCATGCAGCGTTCCTCCAGAGACCCCTGCCCGCGAGCTGCCTTATAAGCGTTGAGCCATTGCTTTCCCATCACAGCCCCAAACGCAGCCAAGACGCTAAACGCGAGACTGGCATATGCGAGTGCTTGCATCCAGACAGTGGAAGAAGGATACCCCGTGGACGAGGAAAGATTGCTGATATCATGCACAATATTTGGGGCAGCTGCGATTTGGATTAGCTGTAGCAAGAGGACATTGGTAGTTTCGCCTGGGTTAGGCTGCATTCCGACAATGAAGGTAGAGTTGACGGCCGAGAATAAACCAGCCTTGTTCACCTGTTAGAATCTGCATAGGCAAGTATATAAATGATCGCACAAAAGTTAAGATGATGTTCATATCGCCATTCCCTCGTGAGAGGAAGGTATCATCGTACTCTTTCGAAACTTGGTCGTACATCGTCCAAAACTTTGAATCGTCTCCTTTGTCACGTTCTTGAGCTACAGGAAGCCCTTGAGCAGCGTTGAGGACCTGTTCATCGGCTTTAAACCTTTGATCCAACATAGTCAGATCTCTGATTCATTATCCCGGCGTACCAATTATCAAACAATACTTACACATCCTTAGCAGGTCCTCCCTCGATAAGCGCGGCAGGTTCCTCGCTCGCTATATGCGGCTTGATTGCATCCCTCAGGCTTGAAGCCCACATGGGTTACACATAGACTCAGTCCAGTCTAGCTCGCTACTCACTTGCTTGCTCGGATGCCAGCATCAACAGGTTGTGTGTGATAGTCTGGGGTGGACATAGAGGTGGGGGAAGGGTGGGAGATTCAGAAATAGTAGTCGTTACATATGCAGTTGTTGTACGGCAAGTGTGAATGCTGAAACGTTGACATTTGTACCGATCATAATCGTAAGGTGTCCTAAGTATGACCGGTGTACTATGAAGAAGCCAACTGCTCCGCGCATCAATCATGATTGCGCTGGAAATTACTCTCTGCTCCATCTTACGTAAGCTACAGACTTCATCTCTCAACGTCATGATACTATCGAGTTCCCTACTCCCAACAATATAATGCACCCCACATCTTACATATGGTAGGAAACAACTCACACAGCTGTACTACTTTGTTGCAATCATCATTCGTTCAAGTTTTTACGTCCAGCACCTGGGTCCGAGTTCCGATTTCTGCTGCACATAGCTAAAACCTCTGGATCATTCACAGCTTGTTATTCTGCTAGGCAACTTGGACGTTTACAACATGCATCTGGCAGGTTTTCTCTCGGACTGTACTTCATAAATTTTGCTGCGTATGGCTAACCACGAGTCGACATTGTCCACCTCATTAGTAAAGTCTCTCTCGATGTTGAGTGCATGGCATCATGTCACTGCATGCGAGACATTAATAAGTATTCTGCAAGCTTACAACGAATTATAAATACTCCATATATCATGCGTTCAAGTGCTCAAGATGTTCCTCTGCTCCAAGGTCTTCACTGCTTGAGCAGCAGTAAAGTTCGTCCAGAAGTAAGCACTTCCGACATTGCACAACGAACTATTTACATGCGGTGCCATCAATCACACTGGCCCAGTGAGAAAGTAGAGTCATGGCTCACTGTAGCTCATTCAATCTCACTGCTCAGGGCCCACTGATTTACGTAGAAAGGCTACCATGCCAGTGAGTCAATACATTCTGGATGAAATTACTCATACTCACTTCAACAAAGCGTAGGTCGAGTTTTCACTGGGGTTCATCATTCGACCCCTTTGTCACTTACTTTGCATCATGTCGCGGGTGGAGTTCGAACATTCCTCTAATTCTAATCATTACCATTTAATTACCATGCGTCCACGGCATTTGTGGGCATTCAAAATGCCTCTCCAACGCCAACGCTGCTTACTTTTATACTCATGAAAATGTATTAATGTGGGCAAAACTTGCAAGCGCTATTGCGTCAGCAAATTGGTTGCACCTGGATGGCAGGACTTCACAGTGGATGATCCCCAGAATCTGAACCTGCCTTGTATATACATATCTGCACTTGATTCATCATCGGCCACGTTGCCCCAAAAGAATGAAAGCCCAAGCAAGTATATCGTTAATAACAACATAGATAGAAAACTAGATAGGATGACTCGCATAGTAGAGGCTTCGCGAAGAAAAGTACAAGATAGCGCAGATCAGGGAAAGCCTGCTTCAGTAAGTTCATCGTCGTTCGAAGTCCTTCCCTCCCGGTTGCACTTCGCCACTGCATTTCATCTTGAACGACATTCGTGATAAGCTCGGCCGATCCAGGATATACTACGATACTCCCGAAAGAGGAACAATAACTTTCCGGATGCTAGGGTGAGCATGCCACGCTGAGAGCTGTCTCTCTCACAGCTTTGCTGTACCTCGATGGAATTCTAGGTCAGAAACACTACGCATGCACCGAAAGGGATAAGGTCAATTCCGTGTGGTGGACTAGCGCGGCTGTTGGCAAGTCGAAAGGTGAGGAGTTCCATGTCAACTTGAAGACCTAGCTGCACGCAACCCTAAAAATGCGATCACGACCTGCAGTTGTCACACACGTCGACCCCACGCATAGCTTCAAAGATACGTCGTTTTAGCACATGGTGGGAAAACGATATGAACTCGAATTTCAAAGACTTCACAGGGCAATTCAAGATAGCTAACAGTACTTACAAGACAGCACAATCAAGCGCTTGAAGAGGCGCAGTATATTACAACTCTCGAGCCATGCAGAAACACGGCGTATCTGCCTTCTACACCGTGACTAGTGTCAGCGGAACCGATCCATGAGAAAGTTGGAACGACATACCATAAACGGCGAGTTCGTGAAACACCCTTCAGAGATCCTAGCACCTTCTGGACCTCTGATCAAGATAGAGTAACCTCCATCCAGAGTGGTGTAACGTCTATGCAGGGCAGCGGACGCGGCTTGGGCGTTTGCCGCATCTGGATTCCGCAAGAGTGCTTGACCCGCTTGCTCTCGAGTCAACACCCTGACTGGGATCTGGGTGCCGGAAGGCACGACCATGCGGTATATCGCGAGCCGACGATTGTCGATGGAAAGGGTTCCGTTTGCGCCTGAATCGAAGACGCGGATGGGATCAGGGAAATGCTCTCTCATGTAGGCAAGGGCGCCTCGTGGATCATTCAGCGCAGCGTTGACCACAGCTCGAATCTCGACTTGGCTCTGAAGGGTGATATTGTATACACAACTGCTGATGCTATCCTGTGTCCAGCCGATTGCCCCCACAGGCACGGTGCTGACTGGAATCGGTCTAGTATCGTCGCTGGCAACTTCACTGTACAAAATAGCAGTGATTGCTACTGAGATAGCCTGTATTCCAATGTCAGCTGTGAGAATAGACGATTAGATGTCCGTAACTCCGTACTATGAATCCACCCCAGACCAACGCCATGTTGAAGGTGCAATGGGACAAACTATGATGGGGTGAAAGGCATTCCTCTTTTATACCCAGGTTCTAGGAAGCATCATGCACATCACCGAATTCACTGTGAATCGTTCAATACAGATTACACCTATCAGCTTATCTGGGATTATCGTAACTCGATTCTTTTTGTGATGTCTGCATGCACCAAAGATGCCGTTATCAATCCTTCATCGGTAACAAGTATTGGGATCTCTAGGAGGGGAAAGACGAATTGAGAAAGTGCAGAGGAGTAAAGTTATTATTGTACCAGAGATGTGATCACCTTCAAGTTCTTTGAGATTCATAGATAAGTTAAATGAACTACAGGATCGGAGCTCGAGACCGAAAGATAAATATGTGCGAAGGGGGGAGAAGAAGTGTAAGCATGCATTATCATTTTGAATTTTGAGCGTCAAGTGACAGCTGCATTGTCGAGATGGGGAGATTCGAGGTCCGTTCGTAGTGGTATTGACATCGTATCGAGCGCAGAAGGTACGAATAAACTTCTGCAAGACTTTGGACAAATTGAGGAGTATTTCAAGCTGCTGGTTCGTGGCTCTCTTTCGCCGTGACAGAGGGTCCTGCGGACCGCGCTCACTCCCCTGCCAGACTCGAAAAAGGCAGTGTGACACCGACAGTGCACAAACTCGAGAACACTCGGATCTGGCATTTGATGATGTTGGTTGGTTGGCGCTTTACCAGGGCAGTGACAGCTGGTCTGGCAGCCAGGACCGAAAGAGCCGTCTTCTGGCCGCTGGCTAGATGTTCTTAGGGTTTAAGGCCTAGACATAAGCTCGTGTCTGCATTTGAGTCTTTCCCCCATATTGGGTATACTTCTCCGTAGATAGGTCATTGGTCCACTGACATGTAGAAATGTGAAGCTAGTAGACGAGTCTCAGCGTTAATGAAAGCACCGCTATGCATTGACAGTACCTAGTAGACGAGTCTAAAGACAAATAATCGTAAGAGACAACGAGCGTGCAGACAAACACAATACATACCTCAGCGTTAATGAAAGAACCGCTGAGGTGTAAACAACCGTAGACAATGATATGATATAGTATGTCCGAGATAATAACAAGCGAAAACAAACATTGACGAGTTTCAACATGATCATGAGTAAAGTTTTGAATTTTGAATTTTTATATTTCGCCATCTAAAATCACAGGGTGTGCAATCACATGCACAGATTATGTAGTCCTAATTTATTAGGCTTAAGAAGGAGCGTGCCTATGTAGAACTAGAAGTACAAGCAGTAGGGGCAGCGGCCAAGCCCTCTGATGAGAGCCTTTCGCAAGGTTCGAAACTGCTTTACTAACGTCCCTCTGCTCAACCTCACTGCACCCTATCCTAGGAGACGGTGGACAGGAGTGCTAAGTACAGGATGCGGTCGGCCTAGTATGCTCAGATGACCGTATCTAGTAATGATTAAGTATCGCCTACCATTAGGCTCGTGACCAGCTTATATAACCATGGACAAGTTTAACATCTCAGACGTAGTAAAGACCAGTTACCAGTCTAGTCCACCATATTATCATTCGTCCAGTCATTTCTATTCCTGATGTTCTCAGATGAGCTCGAGACGTTCCGTCGACTAGGATTCCGACACGTGTGTCCTAGCATTTTCAATCACTCTGCAGAATACTGACTTTTCTTTTGTTTCATTTGTGCCGACGTGTCCTTGACGTGACCCCATATGCTTCTATCATTCTCTATTCCTTCAGTTTCTGCTCCAAATTCTCAACTTCGCCTCTGTCATTGCATCTGGCCTCATGCTATGGAAAGGCCTTGGCCTGATTCTGAACACAGAATCTCCAATCGTCGTTGTCCTCAGGTGTGTATCATCCTCGCTCAATCACGTATTCAACCTGAGACCTCCATTTCTCCCCACCCTAAACTGGATCCCGTATATTATATCTACAGTGGCTCAATGGAACCGGCGTTTTACCGTGGCGACCTTCTTTTTCTTACGAACCCCCCAGGCCAACGCTACCATACGGGTGATATAACAGTATACAGGATCCCTGGCGCCGAAATACCCATCGTGCACCGCGTCCTGGAGACCCGGGATGTTTTCATCCCATTTGACAATTCTACGGAGAACCGCATCGTCAACAACAGGTGAGTGTCTTCAGTGTGCCGTACGTGGTTTGTTGCGGGGGTTAAGTCGATGAAATCCGATGACTGACTACAACTATACCCCACCCCAGATTAGCCAAACTCAAACTCCCTCCAGGGGAACATCAATTGATGCTCACAAAAGGCGACAACAATCATGTCGATGACATTGACCTCTACCGGGGCCTTGAGTGGCTCGACCGAAGACATATCATTGGCAAAGTTCGCGGGTACGTGTTTTTCACATTTTTCACATTTTTTCCTTCCTGTTTCGAGGCACAACTTGCGCAACCTGACACGTCTCTTTTCCCACTCAATCTTCTAACCACGCCTCTACTTCACTCACACTTCATCCCCAGGTTTCTTCCGTACATTGGCTACGTGACGATTGCCATGGTGAGCATGCATTTCTTGTTCATGCCCAATAACGCTGATCATGCTACATAGAATGATTTCCCGCAACTTAAATACGCACTTCTCGGAGGTCTTGGGCTATTAGCTGTCATACAACGGGAGTAGAATTTCCCGGAGGAGAGAGGGCCTTTACACAGCAGACTCGTATTGCTTCTTTCACGTATGGTGACGGCGCGTGCCCGAAATAGCAACAGTCATCTCGATTGGCGACGTTCAACATCATGATATCTGATTCCGCAAGGAGGTGACACTTCGAACATGCGTCTCCCAGGTCAACGAATCTTACACCAATATTGAAAGGTAAGTCGCGATAGCACTTAGGAGATATTGGATGATGCGATGATATCACCAACGCAATTTGCAAGCCAAGTATCTAGGCCATGCGTCGTATGTATGAGTCTAGTTGAAATCTTCGGACCCTGGTGTTCAATGCAACTCAGACCACCAATGTTCAGTGAGCGAAAGGATTGCTCCATCATCAATGAGGCCGGTCCCTGTGTAGAGCAGATACAACGTGTATCGCTCGAATGCTGACAAGTTCGAAGGGGAATACAGATGACATGGATGGAAGTTGACAAGAAGCTGAGTATGTTCGGTATATTTTGTTCGATGACTGGATTCACTGAAAATATGAACAGAACATGCATGTTTATATATATATGGGAAATATAGATGTTATGAAAGCACGAGTGGCGTGAAGGAAAAGGAAAGGAACCACGAGGGTCACGATGAAAAAATATCCTGATTAGGATGAAAAAGAGTGAGGCGATCCACTTTCAGCGATCTATAGCCGAACAGGGTTGTATACTCTTTGTGGCGGGGTAAGGAGGAGAACTGTAAGGTTAAAGCCGTCCAGTCAGCGTCATGAAGTATCTCGTGAGCGTTTTGACAAGTCATCTGATGTGTAACTTTTCTTACTCCCATGAAGAAGCTTGGACTAGTATCGGGAAAGGCACAATAGTCAGGGAAATGTAAGTAGAACCGTAAATACGAGATCCAGCTGACTTCAGTCTTACTAGGGAGATTGAATCATTGTCCGAGGGGAAATACGCTGATTGCCAAAACGGAGAATTATGATCAATCAAAGACGAACGTGTATGAAGCAAGGCGTGATTGCTTATGTGAAAGTGAGTGCCGTATGTACAAGAGTAACGCCAAGAGTCATCAAGTGACTGAAATCGTCGTTGATGGGTAAGTTGTTTTGTAAGAATACTATTCATACACAACTCGGCGGCCAGAGCTGAATGACAAGTCATTATCACAGCACCCAGCCCCGTTCCCATCATGATGTTATAAGGACCTGCTGATCTAAATCCTTTGAATCCATACTAACCAATCTTCCTGCCAGTGTCTCGAGCGTTATATATGAATTCTGTTCATCCTCCCGTACTAGTCGTAAGTGACCTACTTATGATACATGTTTGCATCTCAGCTGAATTCCTTGCCATAAGGTTGGTGCTGGGCCAGTGGGTCTGATAGCAGCGTTGACGCTCCTTCAAAACGGTATCCCAGTCCGCATCATCGAGAAAGACCATCACCCCCGCATTGGACAGCGTGGTGCTGGAATGTGGGTTTGTCGCACATCTACTTGTCACATGATCCCGTAATCTCATTGAATACATGCTCTGTGTAGCCACGCTCCCTCGAAGTCTACAACTTCCTGGACGTTTCAGAAGTCAATAGTCTGGGAAAATCAGCCCTTCCCAGCCGTTCGTACAAGCCCGGGACGTTGGAACCTTTGAAAGGCTCATCGATGTTCTCGCATCTGGAACCTACTCCAGCCATACCATTCGTGGGTAACACTGTCGCTTAATCAAACCTTCATGCTGATTCGATTTTTTTTTAGCATGCCCCCAAATTGATGGGTCAACAGCTCCTAGATGTGATTCTGCGACGCCATCTAGAGAAGTTTTCTTGTTCTGTTGAGATGGGCACCGAACTGCGCTCATTCGAACAGCGCGATGAGGGCGTCACTGCTATTCTAGCAAAGAACGGCATATCAGAGACTTTTGATACGAAGTGGGTCATCGGTGCTGACGGTGCTAAAAGTGAGGCACAGTTTAATCCCTTGAATGAACGAGACTGAAGGTGCTTTTGCAGGCATAGTGCGAAAGCAAGTTGGACTCACATTTTTGGGTGAGAGTAGAGACGATACCCGGCTTGTGACTGGGGATATCCGTTTGACGGGCGTTGGCCTGGATAGAGTGGTATGTCCGGTTTCTACAAATTCGATGAAAAACTATTCTAAACCAGTCTTGAAGCATTGGCACCTGTTTGGAAACTTTAATGAACGAGGGTATGTTCACTTGAGGCTTGGAGATGTGTATATTGACGGTATGCAGCCTCTCATTGCGTGCAACGGATGAAATTGGCGAGGATGGCTGGCAATTTTACCTTTACGGCCGTGAACTAGATCTCACGAAGATAGCTGAAAGCGAAGAGCTTGTCTTTGAGACCATCGCGTCGTTAATACCAACGGAGATTACATTCAAGAAGGTGGTCTGGATGAGCGACTTTCGGTACGTTTTGTGTTCCTGTCTGTGTTGATGCACATTCATCAATTTGTTCCAGGGCCAATATCCGGATGGTGAATAAGTTCAGCGAGGGTCGAGTGTTCGTTGCGGGTGGTATGTAGTTCTGTTTCAGATGTGTGTGGCTGTACTCATACATGTCGTCCTAGATGCTGCTCAGTATGTCTATCTTTGAGTGTCCTCTTTGTAAATTGTTGCTAACACATCCAAGTGTCCACAGCCCAACGGGTGGTCAGGTATGATTGATCCGATTGTTGCTAACACTTGCTTATTTGTCTATGGACAGGGACTCAATTCAGGTGTACAAGATGCAGTAAGTCGGGTAGATGCAGCATGTATGTTATGACTGACCGCGTCCTACACTAGTTCAATCTAGGATGGAAGCTTGCGCTCGTCCAGAAAGGGCTCGCCGACAAATCTCTTCTCGAGACATACAGCGCCGAGCGTTTGCCTGTGATCTCCGAGATGCTCGAGGTGACCACCTCGATTCTCAACAAGGCCACAACGTCTGGGGACCTGTCAGCCGGACGAAATCCCATCCTCTACATGCTCGGGATCAACTACCGATTCAGCACCATCGTACTCGATGAATTTATTACTTCAGCTGAGAGGAAGCCTATCAACGCATATGGTGTGCTTGATGAGGGGCATCTGGAAGCTGGGGATAGGGCGCCTGATGCGCCCAATATGTTGCAGGTGGGGGGCGCAGAGCCCGACACGACGACGCTTTTCGGTCTGTACAGACCTTGGTACCACACAATGCTTGTATTTGCACCGAGTCTCGCTGATGCTACCCCGATCTTGGGTGCACTGGAGGCATACGACAAAAGTGTCGTACGATCGGCAGTCGTTCTGCCATCATCGGCATCAGTGACGCCTGTCACATCCCCTGACCTCATTCTTGTTGATCGGGACGGCTATGCCTATTCGGCTTACCTCGTAGAAGCTGGCCAGATGAAGGTGTTTGTGATACGGCCGGACGGAGTGATTGGGGCGATAGTTCATGGTGCAGAAGGCGTGAAGAAGTATTTCTCAAAAATATTTTTGGATGCGTAGTGATCGGAATATTCGTTCTTTACTTACTATTTTTACAAGCACAGATCATTCCTGTATAGGTCCGAGTCATGCAATGTAGTGGATCATATTTGCAACTGAAAATGAGGAAATAAAAGCGATACGATCGACCAAGAACCACACACCAATGTGCATGACACTTTTGTGCGGGTCGCTACATCAGCAAACTAGTAGGTGCCTGTATAAACTTGTACAATCCTATACAATTTTTTACAGACGCACAGAACCTACAGCAAAGTATGGAAAGCTGGACGTGCGCGCCTACTACAGTGATGGACCACTTTGGTGCCGCACTTGTAGTTCTTGATTATGGTACTTGTACTTGTATTTTCTAGTTGTATTCACGTGATGCTATGAGTACTCGTAGCATCGCCTGGCCATGATCATTGTCATGAATAATATTGTTTCGAGAATCGACTCAGGATGACGCGATCACATGACCTGCACGATGTGTGGTGGCATAACGCAAAACGAACAAACCAAAGTCTTCCTTGGACTTACTCAACAGAGTCAACACATCATTATTTCAATTTTCATGCATATGAACGAACCCGACATGGACGGCAACGAGATCATTCTGTTTTGTCTGATGAACGAACAGGTGGCAGCACTCCCAATCGACGATGAGACAGTAACGTTTGACTTTGGACGCGACCCGATGTTGTAGCGTTCATCTCTATTACTCAGAAATCAGTGCTCAGAATGCAGAAATTGTGTTCCTTGAACTTAAAGTGCGTGGAGGATCTGTCTAGTAATACCTATGCTGATGCCTCTGGTATCAAAGCGTTTGCACTGGCAGTTTTCCTTGTCGTCTTTGGTGAAGCACGTCTTTCAATCTACGGCTGTGGAGGCACTGAAGGCTTAAAGGAGAATTCAAGAACCAGGTTTGCGAGGATGCTAATGAATGAGAAGACAGACATGAAAGGTAAGCGCATATGTCTTTCCTTTTCGTTGGGATGTTGGATATGTAAATGATATAGAAGTGTTCGGATAGCGTTGAGGGTTGATTCGAGTTTCTATAAGCTGATACAGAGTATGTATACATAGGCGCATGAGGGGCTCATCGCACTTGTTTAGATCCTTCCTGGCGGACAACGCAGAAGAAGACATCGATCAAGACCAGAGAACACATTGATGAGTACGTGTGTGCCTCAACAATTATACCGCTACTGATTATCTCTGTCTTTGTCTCAGTTACAGAGACAAACCCGCTCGGCTTGATATCCTTTCTCTAGTCCTCGGCCCAATTTTAGAACTGATGGGCTTGTGATGAAGCTAGGTACATAAATTGTTTCACAACCACTATGAACGAAACAATATTTGTACATCTGCTGACCGCTGCCAGAGTTTCAACATCTCGATGGCAGTACACACCAGAATACTGGGGAAGGTATTGCTCTCATGTTGTCCAGACCAACCAGCGGTACCCAGGAAAGGGCATCCTGGTGTTGGAAAACGAAGGTATGAATTCTTGTTCGATGTGATGGGATGCGCAACGAAATAATTTTATAGGAACCCATTTGTTCAGCTCGAGGAATCATCCTTGACTAGTGAGTCACCAGGACTGGGAAATCTACATGCCGAACGAAGCGTAGACGATTACAGTCAATAATTATATGATATGCACGAAGCATGCACAAAACTAACAACAATGACCGCCGCTGCAGGATCGCTAAGAAAGAAGAGTCGTAATCAGCTGCTAGCTAAACGAACGACACAATCCTGCCATTGGACATGTATTAGGCCTGGTCGTCACTGTCAACTGCTATCGGACAATGAAGGATGCTTATGATAGATGCTACATTCACGCGCACGTTTAGTTGGGATTCGGTGTGCGCTCGGCTCTGTTCTTTCACTACCATGATGTACAAAATGCACAGTCCGCTTTGATAAGCAGGACCATTTGCTCCTATGCGGAAGGCGATCATGTGATGCACCACTCAGTGTGTGTATATAACCTCCTAACCAAGTCTCCTCTTAGTAACAATGTCGATCCAAGTACCACTCTTCTCAAAGTCGTTATCTCAAATCAAGCGACCATTGCCTCCTTCAGATCCACCAACCAGTCAAGACATCGTACATGCAATTGTCTTCCTTGAGAAGGTGAAGGAGCTTTTTAGCCCTCCCTGTAAGTTGTGTTCCGCAGTAGCGGCCTGAGCCACTAAATACATAAAACGCCCATAGCATTCAAGAGAAAACTGTGCCGGGACTACCGTGTGGCCACTGTTGACGACCTCGCGAAAGCGCAGCTGTATCTACACAAGGTGTGTAGCGCAGCCACGGCTAGGACAGGTGGAAATGTAGAGTCTCATGTCATCTCGGATGCCATTGAACCCATCCTTAGAAGGCTCGACCAGATGAATGAAACATTGGTTCGGGTGGTGGATAATTCCGGGACTCACGGTCTGGAGCGACGGCTCGACTCTGATTCCCAAGTAAGTGAGTGTCGACAGAGGTCCGGCTACCCCAAGCAGTCACCGGTTGAAAGTACACACTGGGTGTGATAATTTCGATACTTTGATAACAATTGCTCATGTTAACAATATGACAAGAATCATTCTTTCAACGACTTACAATTGTATGACCAGATTCCGATCTCATGGGACCGTGAGGATAAAGACCCAGAGCACGTTAGTATGTTTATCTTCTCTTGTTCACATTAATAACATGTTCTCGATAGTTCGAATTGCCGCCTTTACGCACGAACAACGACTTCACCAACCTCACCGATTATCAATTGGACAACTATCTTTATTACTATAGAATTGACGTTGATAACCAAAGTACTAGGCAGACGAAAATGCATTGCCTCCGATACTTTATTATTGCTTGTTCGGTCAGTGTTTTAGATGTCTATCTTTTGTAACACTGCGTTGACGACATTGCCGTTAGAAGTCTTGTCTTGCTGCGTCTGACCCAGTACTTGTTTCGTGAAAAAAGTTTTACCAGTCAATCTACACCCATAGTAGTAGGATTACATGTCAATACAGGGCGTATACATGTGTCCGTTTTGCCACTTCCTGGTGTGTTGCTTGTGTTCCCTAACTTTCTCCTTGCCATTCATCTCCCCGTGCCGCGTCTTCCAACTAGCCGCCACCCCAAAGGCTATCCAAAAGTGCTATGAATCAGCACCCACTACACACGACCCTTCCCCCGCACAGGTACAAGGGCTCAGATGGTTATCTCTCGCACCATCTACACCCTCTACCCCTTCGAGAACGGGCGACAGGAAGTTACCCTCCCTACTGAAATCTGTCGTCTACATTGACATCGAGTGCAGTGTATTATCGACCAAATTCAGGGAAGTAAAGATGCGTGTATCCTATGAAAGCCCCCAACTCTCTGTCGTCCCATATCACCTGCGAAGCCCTTTTCCTCATTTGAATCGCCTTTTAAAGTTCTGCTGACACCACTTGGCGAGGATGAAGAGGACATGCGGGGTTTGTAGATTCAGATGAAACGGATGATATCCATGTGGGCACACGAGGAGCTCATCATATCTGCTTAGCCTCTTCCTTGCACATCGTCCGCCTATCTCAGTTTCTCTCTCCTCGCACAACGCCATAAGCTTACCGGTGACCCATCTCCCAATGACGAGTCTCCAGGACAGCCATGACACCTGGCGTCCTGCCTCGCATGTGACAAATTTACGTTCTTGACTTGCCAAAGTGTCAATCATCTGCCAGGGCACACAGGTTGTGGATTATCCGCGTCCCCTGGCCACCTAGCATGGAGTCTTGGACAATCGATGAGTCATTCCGAATCCCTCCTTTCACTGGAAGCTGACACTTGGGAGACGCCTTGCTGATAGTCTCGAGGATCAGTATCATTCTCTGCCCACTGCATTTTGGCATAGCCTCAAACCCACTATACTTTGGTTAACAGAACCTGAAGATAACGCATACAGTATATGCTGGAGCGGCACAGACTCAGACACCGCCGAGGAGCTGATTCCTCAACCAAGTACATGGCGCAAATATTTCGATGTTGTACGTGCACGCGTTGTTACGGCCTTTCTGCTCGACTTCCATCTCATTCGGCGAGAACTCTTGAATTGTCTTCGACATGATGAGTCACAAGGACCGGCAAATCTACATACCGAAGCAAGCCTAGACAGTTACTGTTACGGTTAGTCATTGATATATGCATGAAACGCGCACAAGAGTCGCGAGACTAACACCGTGCCAATGAACGGTTCAGGACCGCTAAGAAAGAAGAGTCATTTATCAGCTGGAAATTCTGCTCGCTGAACCAACGACCCAGTTTGACAACAATTGGCCGAAGAGAAGATCTTGCAGCTGAACATGTGTTAGGCTCGGGCCATCACTGACAACTGCCCTCGGATTGCGAGGGGTGCTTATCGTAGACGCTATGAGAACAGACGCTCATAAGTGCATGTACACGTTTAGTTGGGACCTTGAAGCGCCAGCGAGCCTTCGATCCCGTAGTGATCGACTTGAGGTGCCAATAAGTAACACGCTGACAAGGTGTGGTTCATTAAGTAGAATACCCTGGATGTCTCAGGGGGTGTCAGCTGTCTATATCGAGCTCAAGATAGCCCGATGCAGGACATGACATTTTAGGAACCCCAGTGCCCTTATTTGAGACGTACCCCATCAGGCCGTTTCAGGCGCGCAATTGCTTCGAAGATGAGATGAGTTTAACATGGTGAAATTATATACAAACATTTGATGGGGCATGCTGACGGCCCCACTCGGTTGCTGAGGCAAGCTAGTACAAGAATGGGATGCCGTGCAGTAAGAGGGCAGCATGGCCGGGCCGGTTCTTGTTGTCTGAGCGCCCAACCCTTGAAAAATCGCAATCAGCACAATATTTCATCGGTTATTCGAGATAGCTATGCATACTTTCACTGTGCGAGAGATATCGATTGCAAATCCCCTTGCATGTGTGCAACGAATGCGCCGCAGTCTCGAAGCAACGGAGGATGATCTGGTCGACCTATAAGATCCTGGTCTGACTTGATCTAGGAAGTCGACAAGTCAGTTGCACCACGACTGAATCACATGTGAGTTATGATATGAATTGCTTCGAGTGAGATGCACTTTGAAAATATTACAAGTCTCACTACGCTAAGAGAGTCTGGCTGTGCTCTTGATAAAGGTTATATAAAGGCTCACCGGGTAGAATTATAGCAGCTGGAAGCATGACACGATTAAAATAATCAAGCATCGGTTGCCAAGTTGAAGGCATGTGCTGATGTGACTGAATCATTGCCAGGCTTTGATATCTCTTGCGTAATGATAGTGCAAGCTAGGAATGGACACACGCCGGTGTCGGTACTTCACATTCAAGTGAATCCAGAGTTGGACATTAGTAATGTTTAGTACAAGGCAAGCACTACAACTCACCATGGCCGCCAGCTTGGAATGAAACATCAGAAGGACCCGACGGGACGCAGTTACTGCCAGTCAGGACTGCAGCTGCAAACCAAAGGTATCGAAGTTCGAACAAAGAATTGACATGAACCGTGCAACCGTTGTCTTACCAATATCAAATCGGCTGCACTGGTTCGGTTCGCTATGATCGACATTCCGAGTCAAATTTGCTTACTTACACGGATCATTACTTCCCATCCGCTTAGCCCAGGTGCCATGTTGCAAACATCAGACAAGAGCGCTAGGCCTAATCAACATCGTGCTCCTTTGAATCGACGCCCGCTAGTAAATACAAATAGTGAACAGGATGCATACGATACACCCGTCCACTGATGCGCTTGCTACTTATCTGCCTCTTCCTCTTTCTCGTTGGCCTAGGAGCAATCCAAGCTGCACCTACAACACTGGATACAGCAGATTCAGATATCAGTATCAGCGACCGTTTTCGAGCCCCATCGTTGACGACTAGAACCCTATGGACCATCATCTCCAGCTCCGTTCTCACTCTTTTTGCGTGCACATACAGTGCCATTCACCCTAACATTCCGAATCCTAAGGACAGTTATACGGGTATCCAGATGCGACGACTTGGCATCATAATAAGGGCATTGATCCCTCCTGAACTGATGGTCACATGGGCTATGCGTCAGCTATTCAGCGCTAATCAAGTCACGAAACAGTTCGAGAAATCGAAGTATCCTAATGTTCGTCTGGACTGGAAGTCTGAAGGTGAGTTGTGCTTTCAGGAGCTCTGTGTCTCACAACTCACTATACACGTCTTTAGAAAATGAGTCTGAGACTGCACCTGAAAATGACTTCCTTCGTTTCTTTCGCTTCCTTCTCATGCCTTTTTTCTTCCTCTCACCTTTGTTTCGCCTCCTTCACCTGCTTGCTAAAGGTGTATTGTCTGTGCTGGCGTCTCTTCGGTGTTGCGTCTGTAGCCCCATGAGGTGGGTTGCAAAGCGGATTAAGTCAGAGCAATCCGAGCCAGAGCATTCCAAGTCTGACTCGGAAGGTAAGCCTGGTTCGTGCTCACCTAAACGTTGACTTATGTCCATCCTTAGATCGCACGTGGACTCAGGCACACAGCCTCTTTGTGCTGACGGGTAGTTTTATGCTTTAACAAGGTCGAAGGGGAATACAGATGAAGGATGGATGACAAGAAGCTGAGTGTGTTCGGTATACTCTGTTCGACGACTGAATTCACTGAAAATATGAACAGGACATACGTGTTTATATATCTATAAATGTTATGAAAACACCAGTGGCGTGAAGGAAAAGGAAAGGAACCACGAGGATCGCGAGGAACAATATCCTGATTATGATGAAACAGAGTTTGAGGTGATCCACTTTCAGCGATCTATAGCCGAACGGGGTTTACTCTTTGGGGTGGGGTAAGGAGGAGAGCTGTAAGGTTAAAGCCGTCCAGTCAGCGCCATGAAGTATCTCGTGAGCGTTTTGACAGATCATCTGATGAGATGTGTAACTTTTCTTACTCCCATGAAGAAGCTTGGACTAGGAACGGGAAAGGCACAATAGTTGGGGAAATGTAAGTAGAACCGTAAATACGAGATCCAACTGACTTCAGTCTTACTAGAGAGAATGAATCGTTGTCCGAGGAGAAATACGCTGATTGCCAAAACGGAGAATTATGATCAATCAAAGACGAACGTGTATGAAGCAAGGGGTGATTGCTTATGTGAAAGTGAGTGCCGTATGTACAAGAGTAACGTCAAGAGTTATGTCAAATAACTCAAATCGTCGTCGATGGACACTAGTCATACACAGCTCAGCAGCCACAGCTGAATGACAAGTCATTACCGCAGCACACCGCCCCGTCCCTGTCATGATGTTATAAGGACCTGCTGATCCAAAGCTTTGGAATCCATACTACCTCCTGCCAGTGTCTTAAGCGTTATATATGAATTATGTTCATCCTCCCGTACTAGTCGTAAGTGACCTACTTATGATACATGTTTGCATCTCAGCTGAATTCCTTGCCATTAGGTTGGTGCTGGGCCAGTGGGTCTGATAGCAGCGTTGACGCTCCTTCAAAACGGTATCCCAGTCCGCATCATCGAGAAAGACCACCACCCCCGTATCGGACAGCGTGGTGCTGGAACATGGGTTTGTCGCACATCTACTTGTCACATCATCCCGTGATCTCATTGAATGCATGTTCTGTATAGCCACGCTCCCTCGAAGTCTACAACTTCCTGGGCGTTTCAGAAGTCAATAGTCTGGGGAAATCAGCCCCTCCCGGACGTTGGTACAAGCCCGGGACGTTGGAACCTTTGAAAGACTCATTGCTAGTCCCGCATCTGGAACCTACTCCAGCAATACCATTCGTGTGTAACACCGTCGCTTAATCAAACCTTCATGTTGATTCGATTTTTAGCATGCCCCCAAATTGATGGGTCAACAGCTCCTAGATGTGATTCTGCGACGCCATCTAGAGAAGTTTTCTTGTTCTGTTGAGATGGGCACCGAACTGCGCTCATTCGAACAGTGCGACGAGGGCGTCACTGCTATTCTAGCAAAGAACGGCATATCAGAGACTTTTGATACCAAGTGGATTATCGGCGCTGACGGTGCTAAAAGTGAGGCGCAGTTTAATCCCTTGGATGAACGAGACTGAAGGTGTTTTTGCAGGCATAGTGCGCAAGCAACTTGGACTCACATTTTTGGGCGAGAGTAGAGACGATATCCAGATTGTGACTGGAGATATCCGTTTGACGGGCGTGGGCCTCGATAGAGTGGTACGTCCGGTTTCTACAAATTCGGTGAAAAGCTATCCTAAACCAGTTTTGAAGCATTTTCACCTGTTTGGAAACTTTAATGAACGAGGGTATGTTCAATAGAGGCTTGTAGATGTGTATATTGACGGTATGCAGCCTCTCACTGCGTGCAACAGATGAAATTGGCGAGGATGGGGATGGCTGGCAATTTTTCCTTTACGGCAGCGAACTAGATCTCACGAAGATAGCTGAGAGCTGAAGAGCTGGTCTTCGAAACCATCGCGTCGTTAACACTGACAGAGATTACATTCAACAAGGTGGTCTGGATGGGCAACTTCCGGTACGTTATGTGTTCCTGTCTGTGTTGATGCATGTTGATCGGTTTGTTCCAGGACCAATATCCGGATGGTGAATAAGTTCAGCGAGGGTCGAGTGTTCGTTGCCGGTGGTATGTAGTTCTGTTTCAGATGTGTGGCTCTACTCATCCATGTCGCCGTAGATGCTGCTCAGTATGTCTATCTTTGAGTGCCTTTTTCGTAAATTGCTGTTGACACATCCAAGTGTCCACAGCCCAATGGGTGGTCAGGTATGATTGATCTGATTGTTGCTAATGCTTGCTTATTTATCTACGGACAGGGACTCAATTCAGGTGTACAAGATGCAGTGAGTCGAGTAGATGCAGCGTGTGTATTATGACTGACCACGTCCTACATCAGTTCAATCTAGGATGGAAACTCGCGCTCGTCCAGAAAGGGCTCGCCGACAAGTCTCTTCTCGAGACATACAGCGCCGAGCGTCTGCCTGTGATCTCCGAGATGCTCGAGATGACGACCTCGATTCTCGACAAGGCCACAGCGTCTGGGAAGCTGTCGGCCGTACAAAGTCCCATTCTTTACATGCTCGGCATCAACTGCCGATTCAGCACCGTCGTACTCGATGAATTTGTTACTTCAGTTGAGAGGAAGCCTATCAACGCATATGGTGTGCTTGATGAGGGGCATCTGGAAGCTGGGGACAGGGCGCCTGATGCGTCCAATATGTTGCAGGTGGGGGGCGCAGAGCCCGATACGATGACGCTTTTTGGTCTGTACAGACCTTGGTACCATACAATGCTTGTATTTGCGCCGAGTCTCGCTGATGCTACCCTGATCTTGGGTGCACTGGAGGCATACGACAAAAGCGTCGTACGATCGGCAGTCATTTTGCCATCACCGGCATCAGTGACGCCTGTCGCGTCTCCTGACCTCGTTCTTTTTGATCGAGAAGGCTATGCTTATTCGGCTTACCTCGTGGAAGCTGGCCAGACGAAGGTGTTTGTGATACGGCCGGACGGAGTGATTGGGGCGATCGTTCATGGTGCAGAAGGCGTGAAGAAGTATTTCTCAAACATATTTTTGGATGCATAGTGGTCGGAATATTTGTTCTCTACTTACTATTTTTTACAAGCACGGCTCATTCCTGTATACGTCCGAGTCATGCAATGTAGTGTATCATATTTGTAACTGAGAATGAGGAAATAAAAGCGATACGATCGACCGAGAACCACACACCAATGTGCACGACACTTTTGTGCGGCGCGGTCGCAGACAGTTCAACCACCATTTCAAGTTGATCCTAGGCCTGATTATGCATCGATTGTCACTTGCAGCCGAGATTATGATGGCAAATGGGATCGACAAGTGCATCAGTAACTTCATATATTCCTTTTTTTGTACTTGCCGTTGCTTCTTGAACAATCCGAAAAGGCTTTAGCTTAATGGTCTGGCCGAGTGATTACGCAGGTCTAAATTGTACATGTTTGTTTCGGCTCTTTCGTCGTCGTCAGTCAACGGCCTCTGTTCTGCCAATGAACGTGTTCAATTGTATGTGTTTGGTGTGTAAATTTATCTCGTCAGCGTTTTGACAAATCATCTGAGACTCGATTTAGCTGTGACCATCTTACCCTTAGCTTCAAAGCTTCAAATGAATCAAATCACGTTGTGACGCGTGACCTATCGAAAATAGGTTCACTCCGAGCCCGTTATTTCTAGTTTGTACGCATTGTGTTCTTGTTGTGGTCCGGCAAATGATAATTGAGGTAAGACGATTTTTGGTCTCATTGAAGCGCTGTATGTTTTTTTCCGTCAAATTTACCACATGTCACATTTTAGCTTCATCTTGCAAATACCAGTGTGACGGTCACAGTGAATAGCTTCAATTCAGAGCGTGGTGTGACGTGTGACGAATTTAGTGTCGTAACTCTACAGTACTCCAATGAAGAAGCTTGGACTAGGAACGGGAAAGGCATAGTAGTTGGGGAAATGTAAGTAGAACCGTAAATAAGAAATCCAGCTGACTTCAGTCTTACTAGGGACATTAAATCATTGTCCGAGGAAATACGCTGATTGTCAAGACGGAGAATTATGATCAATCAAAGGCGAACGTGTATGAAGCAAGGGGTGATTGCGTATGTAGAAGTGAGTGTCGTACCGTGACGTACAAGACAATGTCACTTAAGTCTTAAGAGTCATATGGAATGACTCGAATCGTCGTTGATGGGTAAGTTGTTTTGTAAGGATACTAGTCATACACAGCTCAGCGGCCGCAGCTGAATGACAAGTCATCTGTTACCACAATACCTATCCCCATCATGATGTTATAAGGACCTGCTGATCCAAATTCTTGGAATCCATACCAACTCATCCTCTTGCCAGTGTCTCGAGCGTTATGAATTCTGTTCATCCTCCCGTCCTAGTCGTAAGTGATGAGCTTATGATACATGTTTACACCTTAACTGAATTCCTTGCTATTAGGTTGGTGCTGGGCCAGTGGGTCTGATAGCAGCGTTGACGCTCCTTCAAAACGGCATCCCAGTCCGCATCATCGATAAAGACCACCACCCCCGTATCGGACAGCGTGGTGCTGGAACATGGGTTTGTCGTACATCTACTTGTCACATCGTCCCGTGATCTCACTGAATGCATGCTCTATGTAGTCACGCTCCCTCGAAGTCTACAACTTCCTGAACGTTTCAGAAGTCAATAGCCTTGGGAAATCAGCCCCTCCCGGACGTTGGTACAAGCCCGGGACGTTGGAACCTTTGAAATACTCACCGATGGTCCCGCATCTGGAACCTACTCCAGCAATACCATTCGTGCGTAACACCATCGCTTAATCAAACCTTCATGTTGATTCAATTTTTTAGCATGCCTTCAAATTGATGGGTCAACAGTTCCTAGATGTGATTCTGCGACGCCATCTAGAGAAGTTTTCTTGTTTTGTTGAGATGGGCACCGAACTGCGCTCATTCGAACAGTGCGACGAGGGCGTCACTGCTGTTCTAGCAAAGAACGGCATATCAGAGACTTTTGATACCAAGTGGATTATCGGCGCTGACGGTGCTAAAAGTGAGGTGCAGTTTAATCCCTTGGTTGAACGACACTGAAGGTGTCTTTGCAGGCATAGTGCGCAAGCAACTTGGACTCACATTTTTGGGTGAGAGTAGAGACGATATCCAGATTGTGACTGGGGATATCCGTTTGACGGGTGTTGGCCTCGATAGAGTGGTACGTCCGGTCTCTACAAGTTTGATGAAAAGCTATCCTAAACCAGTCTTGAAGCATTGGCACCTGTTTGGAAACTTTAATGAACAAGGGTATGTTCACTTGAGGCTTGGAGATGTGTATATTGACGACATGCAGCCTCTCATTGCGTGCAACAGATGAAATTGGCGAGGATGGGGATGGCTGGCAATTTTTCCTTTACGGCCGCGAACTAGATCTCACGAAGATAGCTGAGAGCGAAGAGCTGGTCTTTGAGACCATCGCGTCGTTAATACTAACAGAGATTACATTCAAGAAGGTGGTCTGGATGAGCGACTTCCGGTACGTTCTGTGTTCCTGTCTGTGTCGATGCGCGTTCATCGATTTGTTCCAGGGCCAATATCCGGATGGTGAATAAGTTTAGCGAGGGACGAGTGTTCGTTGCGGGTGGTATGTACTTCTGTTTGAGTTGTGTGGCTCTACTCATCCATGTCGCCGTAGATGCTGCTCAGTATGTCTATCTTTGAGTGCCTTTTTCGTAAATTGCTGTTGACACATCCAAGTGTCCACAGCCCAATGGGTGGTCAGGTATGATTGATCTGATTGTTGCTAATGCTTGCTTATTTATCTATGGACAGGGACTCAATTCAGGTGTACAAGATGCAGTGAGTCGAGTAGATGCAGCGTGTGTATTATGACTGACCACGTCCTACATCAGTTCAATCTAGGATGGAAACTCGCGCTCGTCCAGAAAGGGCTCGCCGACAAGTCTCTTCTCGAGACATACAGCGCCGAGCGTCTGCCTGTGATCTCCGAGATGCTCGAGATGACGACCTCGATTCTCGACAAGGCCACAGCGTCTGGGAAGCTGTCGGCCGTACAAAGTCCCATTCTTTACATGCTCGGCATCAACTGCCGATTCAGCACCGTCGTACTCGATGAATTTGTTACTTCAGTTGAGAGGAAGCCTATCAACGCATATGGTGTGCTTGATGAGGGGCATCTGGAAGCTGGGGACAGGGCGCCTGATGCGTCCAATATGTTGCAGGTGGGGGGCGCAGAGCCCGATACGATGACGCTTTTTGGTCTGTACAGACCTTGGTACCATACAATGCTTGTATTTGCGCCGAGTCTCGCTGATGCTACCCTGATCTTGGGTGCACTGGAGGCATACGACAAAAGCGTCGTACGATCGGCAGTCATTTTGCCATCACCGGCATCAGTGACGCCTGTCGCGTCTCCTGACCTCGTTCTTTTTGATCGAGAAGGCTATGCTTATTCGGCTTACCTCGTGGAAGCTGGCCAGACGAAGGTGTTTGTGATACGGCCGGACGGAGTGATTGGGGCGATCGTTCATGGTGCAGAAGGCGTGAAGAAGTATTTCTCAAACATATTTTTGGATGCGTAGTGGTCGGAATATTCGTTCTTTACTTACTATTTTTACAAGCACAGCCCATCCCTGTATACCTCCGAGTCATGCAATGTAGTATATCATATTTGTAACTGAAAATGAGGAAATAAAAGCGATACGATCGACAGAGAACCATACACCAATGTGCACGACACTTTTGCGGTCGCAGACAGTTCAACCATCATTTGATCCTAGGCTTGATCATGCATCGATTGTCACTTGCAGCCGAGATTGTAATAGCAAATGGGATCGACAAGTGCATCAGTAACTTCATACATTCCTTTTTGTGTACTTGCCGTTACTTCCTTTGAAAACCGAAAAGGCTCTAAAGGGTCTGGCCGAGTGATATGGCTAGTACGCAGGTCTATGTTTGTTTTTGATTTATCGGCTCTTTCGTCGTCGACGGTCGTCAGTCAACGACCTGTTCTGCCAACGAACGTGTTCAATTGTATGTATTTGGTGAGTGTAAATTTTCCTACCAATTTTACCAACAGTATAGGCTCGAACAAATCATAAGCGAGCCGTCCAGTCAGCATCATGAAGGATCTCGTGAGCGTTTTGACAAATCATCTGATGGGATGTGTAACGTTTCTTACTCCCATCAAGAAGCTTGGACTAGGAACGGGAAAGGCGCAATAGTGAGGGAAATGTAAGTAGAACCGTAAATAAGAGATCCAGCTGACTGAGTCAGTCTTACTAGGAAGATTAAATCATTGTCCGACGAAATACGCTGATTGTCAAGACGGAGAATTATGATCAATCAAAGGTCTATGTGGCGACTCAGCTTCTCAGGCAATTTCCCACCCTTCTTGTTTCGTACTACTATCACTTAGCACTCGCAAGTACTCGACTACTAAACTACACTCGTTTCGTCGCACCCGCCCACCACTCCCCCTTTAGCCACTAACATCTAATTCACGATTTGTTTAAAAATTCTTAAAACTGCACGTTAAAAATTAACTCGACGCATCCTTTCAGTCTATTACGATAGTTAAAGTCTGACCGAGCTGCTATGGCCCTGCTCACCCATCGCGGCTCATCATGGTCGATGCTTCGGGTCGCGGAACCCTTCGTGTCCGAGCCCAAAGAGCCTCATGTACCCTTCCTTACTTCTGTAAAATCAATTTATGTACTCAGCCAATAATAAATCTGATTGTCGCACGTTACCACGAAAGCTGTCAGCTACTACACATAGACGAACGTACGGATGATTGCGTGAGTGTCGTACGTACTAGAGTAACGTCACTTAAGAGTCATATGGAATGACTCGAATCGGTCATTGATGGGTAAGTTGTTTTGTAAGGATACTAGTCATACACAGCTCAGCGGTCGCAGCTGAATGACAAGTCATTACCACAGCACCCAGCCCCGTCCCCATCATGATGTTATAAGGACCTGCTGATTCAAATCCTTGGAATCCATACCAACTCATCCTCCTGCCAGTGTCTCGAGCATTATGAATTCTGTTCATCCTCCCGTACTAGTCGTAAGTGATGAGCTTATGATACATGTTTGCACCTCAGCTGAATTCCTTGCCATTAGGTTGGTGCTGGGCCAGTGGGTCTGATAGCAGCGTTGACGCTCCTTCAAAACGGCATCCCAGTCCGCATCATCGATAAAGACCACCACCCCCGCATCGGGCAGCGTGGTGTTGGATCATGGGTTTGTTGCACATCCACTTGTCATATCTGATCTCATTGAATGTATGCTCTATGTAGCCACGCTCCCTCGAAGTCTACAACTTCCTGAACGTTTCAGAAGTCAATAGTCTGGGGAAATCACCCCCTCCCGTCCGTTCGTACAAGCCTGGAACGTTGGAACCTTTGAAAGACTCATCGATGGACCCGCATATGGAACCTACTCCAGCAATACCATTCGTGCGTAACACCGTCGCTTAATCAAACCTTCATCCTGATTCGATTTTTAGCATGCCCCCAAATTGATAGGTCAACAGCTCTTAGATGTGATTCTGCGACGCCATCTAGAGAAATTTTCTTGTTCCGTTGAGATGGGCACCGAATTGCGCTCATTCGAACAGCGCGATGAGGGCGTCACTGCTGTTCTAGCAAAGAACGGCATATCAGAGACTTTTGATACCAAGTGGATCATCGGCGCTGACGGTGCTAAAAGTGAGGCGCAGTTCAATCCTCTGGGATGAACGAGACTGACAGTGTCTTTGCAGGCGTCGTGCGCAAGCAACTTGGACTCACATTTTTGGGTGAGACTAGAGACGATATCCGGATTGTGACCGGGGATATCCGCTTGACTGGTGTTGGCCTCGATAGAATGGTACGTCCTGTTTCTACAAATTCGATGACAAGCTATCCTAAACCAGTGTTGAAGCATTGGCACCGGTTTGGAAACTTTAATGAACGAGGGTATGTTCACTTCAGGCTTGGAGATGTGTATATTGACTGTATACAGCCTCTCACTGCGTGCAACGGATGAAATTGCCGAGGATGGCTGGCAGTTTTTCATTTATGGCAGCGAACTAGATCTCACGAAGATAGCTGAGAGCGAAGAGCTTGTCTTCGAAACCATCGCGTCGTTAATACCAACGGAGATTACATTCAAGAAGGTGGTCTGGATGAGCGACTTCCGGTACGTTTTGTGCTCCTGTCTGTGTTGATGCACATTCACATGCTTGTTCCAGGGCCAATATCCGGATGGTGAATAAGTTCAGCGAGGATCGAGTGTTCGTTGCGGGTGGTATGTACTTCTGTTTGAGATTTGTGTGGCTGTACTCATGTATGTCGTCGTAGATGCTGCTCAGTATGTCTATCTTTGAATGCCTTCTTCGTAAACTGCTGCTAACACATCCAAGTGTCCATAGCCCAACGGGTGGTCAGGTATGATTGATCTGATTGTTTCTAATACTTGCTCATTTGTCTATGGACAGGGACTCAATTCAGGTGTACAAGATGCAGTGAGTCGGGTAGATGCAGCGTGTGTATTATGACTGACCACGTCCTACATCAGTTCAATCTAGGATGGAAGCTTGCGCTCGTCCAGAAAGGGCTCGCCGACAAGTCTCTTCTCGAGACATACAGCGCCGAGCGTCTGCCTGTGATCTCCGAGATGCTCGAGGTGACCACCTCGATTCTCGACAAGGCAACAGCGTCTGGGGACATTTCGGCCGGACGAAGTCCCATCCTTTACATGCTCGGCATCAACTGCCGATTCAGCACTATCGTACTCGATGAATTTGTTACTTCAGCTGAGAGGAAGCCTATCAACGCATACGGAGTGCTTGACGAGAAGCATCTGGAGGCTGGGGACAGGGCGCCTGATGCGCCCAATATGTTGCAGGTGGGGAGCGCAGAGCCCGACACGACGACGCTTTTCGGTCTGTACAGACCTTGGTACCACACAATGCTTGTATTTGCGCCGAGTCTCACTGATGCCACCCCGATCTTGGGTGCACTGGAGGCATACGACAAACGCGTCGTACGATCGGCAGTCGTTCTGCCATCATCGGCATCAGTGACACCTGCCGCATCCCCTGACCTCGTTCTTGTTGATCGGGAGGGCTATGCTTATTCGGCTTACCTCGTGGAAGCTGGCCAGACGAAGGTGTTTGTGATACGGCCGGACGGGGTGATTGGGGCGATAGTTCATGGTACAGAAGGCGTGAAGAAGTATTTCTCAAAAATATTTTTGGATGCGTAGTGGTCGCAATATTCGTTCATTACTTACAATTTTTACGGGCACCGCTCATTCCTGTATACCTCCGAGTCATACAATGTAGTATATCATATTTGTATTTGAGAACATAAAAGTGATACGATCGACCCGGGACCGAGAACCACACACCAATGTGCATGACACTTGCGCGGGTCACTATGATGCAGACAGTTCAACCAGCATTTGATCCTAGGCCTGATCATGCATCTATTGTCACTTGCAGCCGAGATTATGATGGCAAATGGGATCGACAAGTGCATCAGTAAATTCACATATTCCTTGCCATTACTTCCTTTGAAAACTTGAACCTCCCATTAATCCGAAAAGGCTCTAATCCTGCTCCCTTAGCTAAATTCCAGGCCTTAAAACTGGTCTGTGGTTCGGGGAATTAGGGTTCCCCCTCTAATCGACCGGCAAATTAGCATGACCCTCTACAAAGGCCTAATTTACAGGTGTAAATTACATCTGATTGACTCAAATTGACCCCATATGGCTTTTTGACGCTGATTTGCGCTAATTTGCAGGTAAATTTGCTCTAATTGACCGAAATTTATACCATTTCTCCCACTCGTCATCCTTCGGCGTAAGGACGAAGTTGGACTGAGCAGCAGGAAATTGACGGTCCAGGGAGCTTACCTAAGCGAGCAGTGACGAAGTTGTACTTTGATCAGCCGCCACCTTTGCTGTCGACGGACCTAATGGAAGACATATCATTGGTAAAGTTCGTAGGTATGTGTTTTTCACATTATTCACATTTTTTCCTTCCTGTTTCGAGGCGCAACCTGACACCGTGACACGTCTCTTTTCCCACTCAATCTTCTAACCACACCTCTAATTCACTCACACTTCATCCCCAGGTTTCTTTTCTTCCGTACGTTGGCTACGTGATGATTGTCATGGTAAGCATGCATCTCTTTTTCATGCTCAATAACGCTGACCATGCTACATAGAATGATTTCCCACAACTTAAATACGCACTTCTCGGAGGTCTTGGGCTCTTAGCTGTCAGTAGAAATCCCTGAAGAGACTCTGGGTCTTTACGCAGCAGATTCGTATTGCTTCTTTCATGTATGGTGACGGCACGCGCGCGAAATAGCAATAGTCATCTCGATTGGCGACGTTCAACATCATGATATCTCGTTCCACAAGGAGGTGACACTTCGAACACGCGTCTCCCAGGTCAATGAATCTAATTCCAATATTGAAAGGTAAGTCACGACAGCACTTGCAAAATAGTGGATGACACGATGGCATCACCACCGCAATTTGCAAGCCAATTGTCCAGGTAATGCGTCGTATGCATCAGTCTAGTAGAGATCTTTGAATCTCGGTAATCAATGCAACTCAGACCCACCGATATTCAGTGAGCGAAAGGATTGCTCTACATCAACTGTCATCAATGAGGCCGCATATACAACTTGTATCGCTCGAACGCTGACAAGTTCGAAGGGAGATACGGATGACAAGAAGCTGAGTGTGTTCAGTATATTTTATTTGATGACTTTGAATGAATGGATTCACTGAAATATGAACAGGACATGCGTGTTTATATATATATGGGAAATATAGGTGTTATGAAAGCACGAGTGGCGTGAAGGAAAAGGAAAGGGACCACAAGGCGAGCGATGAAAAATATCCTGATTATGATGAAAAAGAGTGAGGCGATCCACTTTCAGCGATAGGCTGTAGCCGAACGGGGTTTACTCTTTGGGGCGGGGTAAGGAGGAGAGCTGTAAGGTTAAAAGCCGTCCAGTCAGCGTCGTGAAGCATCTAGTAGGCGTTTTGACATATCATCTGATGAGATATGTAACGTTTCCTACTCCAATGAAGAAACTTGGACTAGGAACGGGAAAGGCACAATAGTCAGGGAAATGTAAGTAGAACCGTAAATAAGAGATCCAGCTGACTTCAGTCTTACTAGGGAGATTGAATCATTGTTCGAGGGGAAATACGCTGATGGAGAATTATGATCAATCAAAGGTGAACGTTGTATGAAGCAAGGGATGATTGCGTATGTGAAAGTGAGTGCCGTATGTACAGCAATAACGTCAAGAGTCATATCAAATAACTCACATTGTCGTTGATGTGTAAGTTTTATCGTAAGGATACTAGTCACACAGCTCAGCGACCACAGCTGAATGGCAAGTCATTACCACAGCACCCAGCCCCGTCCCCATCATGATGTTATAAGGACCTGCTGATCCAAATTCTTGGAATCCATACAACTAACCCTCCTGCCAGTGTCTCGAGCGTTATATATGAATTCTGTTCATCCTCCCGTACTAGTTGTAAGTGACCTACTTATGATACATGTTTGCATCTCAGCTGAATTCCTTGCCATTAGGTTGGTGCTGGGCCAGTGGGTCTGGTAGCAGCGTTGACGCTCCTTCAAAATGGAATCCCAGTCCGCATCATCGAGAAAGACCACCACCCCCGCATCGGACAGCGTGGTGCTGGATCATGGGTTTGTCGTACATCTACTTGTCACATCATCCCGTGATCTCATTGAATGCATGCTCTATGTAGTCACGCTCCCTCGAAGTCTACAACTTCCTGGACGTTTCAGAAGTCAATAGTCTGGGAAAATCAGCCCCTCCCGGCCGTTCATACAAGCCCGGGACGTTGGAACCTTTGAAATACTCACCGATGGTCCCGCATCTGGAACCTACTCCAGCAATACCATTCGTGTGTAACACCGTCGCTTAATCAAACCTTCATGTTGATTCGATTTGTAGCATGCCTTCAAATTGATGGGTCAACAGCTCCTAGATGTGATTCTGCGACGCCATCTAGAGAAGTTTTCTTGTTTTGTTGAGATGGGCACCGAACTGCGCTCATTCGAACAGTGCGACGAGGGCGTCACTGCTATTCTAGCAAAGAACGGCATATCAGAGACTTTTGATACCAAGTGGATCATCGGCGCTGACGGTGCTAAAAGTGAGGCGCAGTTTAATCCCTTGGATGGACGAGACTGAAGGTGTCTTTGCAGGCATAGTGCGCAAGCAACTTGGACTCACATTTTTGGGTGAGAGTAGAGACGATATCCAGATTGTGACTGGGGATATCCGTTTGACGGGTGTTGGCCTCGATAGAGTGGTACGTCCGGTTTCTACAAGTTTGATGAAAAGCTATTCTAAACCAGTGTTGAAGCATTGGCACCTGTTTGGAAACTTTAATGAACGAGGGTATGTTCACTTGAGGCTTGGAGATGTGTATATTGACGACATGCAGCCTCTCATTGCGTGCAACAGATGAAATTGGCGAGGATGGGGATGGCTGGCAATTTTTCCTTTACGGCCGCGAACTAGATCTCACGAAAATAGCTGAGAGCGAAGAGCTGGTCTTTGAGACCATCGCGTCGTTAATACTAACAGAGATTACATTCAAGAAGGTGGTCTGGATGAGCGACTTCCGGTACGTTCTGTGTTCCTGTCTGTGTCGATGCATGTTCATCAATTTGTTCCAGGGCCAATATCCGGATGGTGAATAAGTTTAGCGAGGGTCGAGTGTTCGTTGCGGGTGGTATGTACTTCTGTTTGAGATGTGTGGCTGTACTCATACATGTCGTCGTAGATGCTGCTCAGTATGTCTATCTTTGAGTGCCCTCTTTGTAAATTGCTGCTAACACATCCAAGTGTCCACAGCCCAATGGGGGCTCAGGTATGATTGATCCGCTTGTTGCTAATACTCGCCCATTTGTCTATGGACAGGGACTTAATTCAGGTGTACAAGATGCAGTGAGTCGGGTGGATGCAGCATGTGTGTTATGACTGACCGCATCCTACACTAGTTCAATCTAGGATGGAAGCTTGCGCTCGTCCAGAAAGGGCTCGCCGACAAGTCTCTTCTCGAGACATACAGCGCCGAGCGTCTGCCTGTGATCTCCGAGATGCTCGAGGTGACAACCTCGATTCTCGACAAGGTAACAACGTCTGGGGACCTGTCGGCCGGACGAAGTCCCATCCTTTACATGCTCGGCATCAACTGCCGATTCAGCACCGTCGTACTCGATGAATTTGTTACTTCAGTTGAGAGGAAGCCTATCAACGCATACGGAGTGCTTGACGAGACGCATCTGGAGGCTGGGGACAGGGCACCTGATGCACCCAATGTGTTGCAGGTGGGGGGCGCAGAGCTCGACACGACGACGCTTTTCGGTCTGTACAGACCTTGGTACCACACAATACTTGTATTTGCGCCGAGTCTCGCTGATGCTACCCCAATCTTGGGTGCACTGGAAGCATACGACAAACGCGTCGTACAATCGGCAGTCGTTCTGCCATCATCGGCATCAGTGACGCCTGTCGCATGCCCTGACCTCGTTCTTATTGACCGGGAGGGCTATGCTCATTCGGCTTATCTCGTGGAAGCTGGCCAGACGAAGGTGTTTGTGATGCGGCCAGACGGAGTGATTGGGGCGATAGTTCATGGTGCAGAAGGCGTGAAGAAGTATTTCTCAAAAATATTTTTGGATGCGTAGTGGTCGGAACATTCGTTCTTTACTTACTATTTTTACCAGCACAGCTCATTCCTGTATACCTCCGAGTCACAGTGTATCATATTTGTAACTGAAAATGAGACAATAAAAGCGATACGATCATGACCGAGAACCACACCAATGTGCATGACACTTTTGCGCGGGTCACTATGACGCGTACGCAGACAGTTCAACCATCACTTGATCCTAGACCTGATCATGCATCGATTGTCACTTGCAGCCCAGATTATGATGGCAAATGGGATCGACAAGTGCACTGAGGTGCAGTATAATCTTTTGCAATATTGTCGTTGCTATAATATTGTATAGGGACATCAGATGTGAAAATCTCGCAGAGCCGGCAACCCACAATAGTTCTTGATTGACCACTTCATTTCATACTCGTCTTATAGCTGTACTATGCCTGTCCTTGTTACATTTATGAACCATATAGATACATAGTTTTACATGCAGTATGCTTATATGTCGCCTGTTGTCAAGTATGAGATTTGTTTTGCGCTTGAAACATTCTCAAACGGTGTTGAATTTAAGTGTAACTAGTACTACATAGTGTCATGTCTCTGTGGAGAAATTGGTGGCGTACTGATGTGATCTCCGAGTCTTATCATAAGACATATCGCATGTTGTCATCATGTGTTGTTTTGAACTGAGATTTTTGAACCAAGGTTTGCACGTTGCTGATCTGATAAAAATGTGTTGTTATGAAAATTATGCATCCCGTCGATGCATCGATGATAGTCCAGCTGCTATGCACTTAATGCAGACTTTGGCAGTGCATTAGTGAACACTCCTCAGGCCTCAGTACTCAAGGTCTGAACGACGCAACACAAATTTGGACATTGAAATCACTCCTCACGTCTCTTCAAGTTAGTCAATATCGAGTGTTCTCAAAAGCACCCTCATTGCCCATTGGAACAGGAAAAACTGTCCATACTCTAGGAACAACAACCACATTGATCAAGTCAGCAACGAACTACGGACTGTGCTATCAGCCACAACACCAATGCGAAAGCAGAAATACGCCTCGTTATCCAGATGTGATCATGGACAGGCTGCCAGCCCATCGGTGAGCAGTCTAGCAATCATTGCACCCTCGGATATTGGTAAGCTATTGACATTGTAGGGTGCAAGGGGTAATCAATGAGGTTGAATCCTGGATGCAAAGCCAACTACTCATACTCACTCTCGTCGTAATACAGCACAAGTAAGCACAGCAATCATCGCTAGTGGTGCAGGGCTCGGATTGTTGACTACATGCAGTGACAGACATACATGCTGCCAAAGCACTGGTAACGACGACGAGGAAGGAGAAATGCATGATTTATATGAAGTGATACAAGCGCTTTGCAAATGGAACTCTGAACGTGGACACGGCCTGCTTTTATATCCTGAGAATAGAGGTAAAAGTGAATTGAAATTTCTATTGGTTTGGCAGATTGGTTCAACGCGCCTGGATGACAGAACTTCAGGGCGGATGATGTGAAAAAACCTAGCAGAGTCCCAAAATCAACGGATAAACAATGCAGAATTCAAACATATAATTATTGAGCTTATGAGCACAACCCAAGCGGCGAAATTGTATAGGCCAGGCTCTTTCGTGGCGAAGGCCTGGTTATGGATAGAAAGGTCGCCGTTCCAGATAGCCCGGGAGAATCCTACAAACGATGTGTTTGTGCAATCAACGCTATTCCTTCCTGCAAAGTTACAAATTCGCCGCTCGATAGTTGCTCGTACCTTTTGCCACATAGTTCGAGTGCTTTGCTTTGATTCCTAACTTGTTTAGTTCGTAGTAGTCGAGGGCGCCATATTGTGAGCGTAGTCTATGATATTCATACGGGTTTTCAAAGTCCGCTGAATTTGATAAATCGCTTTGAATACATCGACAAGATGGAAATACACGTGCAGCACCATTCTCTCGCTTGATCTTTATTCACAGTTCCTATCTCTGTCTTCTCATACGACTCATTCTGTCAACCACTGCCCATTACCGATCCTTGGCGTTTTGCCTCCTCGCACTGTCATGCCTAGTAGCTTAGAAGGCCAATAATCAGACCTGAAGGCGAGTCACTCCATATCACCTTAACATCCGTTTGGTGATTATCGCGCTCTATCTACAGTTATCAGCGGAAAAATAAAATTCCCCCTTAGCGCGCATGCTAAAGCCGCTGTTCTATATTTTTACGAGAGCCAGGACAACGCCATGCTTGATGTGAGTAATATCAGCCTCTGCGGTGTCGGATTTTGTTGATGGAACACCCGCTGTTTAGTTCATCGGTGACTGTCAGATCACTGGGAATACAGATGCGGGCCATGAACGATTCTCCACATACGTGGCAAGCAAGATGGTCTCTTTGTCGTACAGCATTTTCAGTTGGTCCTGGGTCGGCCGTCCTGACCAGGCAGCCGCTCTCACCAAGCTCGCGTAGGCCCACCTTGAAGGCTACATTCCAAACGATAATCAAGACAGACTGTATCATTTCTCACGAAGCCCTTGCATTGCATCCGCAGGGCCACTCTGATCATCCATTATCTATCTATCCTCAATGGAATCTGTCCAACTGTCCTGCAAGCTAGAGAGTAACTTCCTCCCCAGCATCATGGCAGGGGCAAATGGCGTTGATTATGTGATCCGCGAATGCAACAGTTTTCTAACAACGCATCCGATGAAGGCATCCATCTTCAATGCGTCGTGCTCGAGCTCTGTCCTCTGGGCAACCAACGCCGTTCCAGAGTCCTCTGTGAGCTTGCAGATGTAGTAAAAAAGACGCTTTGAACAACACGGTAGCATTGGTGACCTAGTATACAAGTGCATACAATGTTGTCATGCAGCCGTTTTTCTGTGCTCTGAGAGACATTCTGAACGCGAAACCTTCCTGAATAACTTGGCCTTGTCACTCGATTACCGCTCGGATCACCAAGGCGACTCTCATGACCTCAATGAGGCCATTTCTTTGTATGAACAAACCCTGCGCCTGTGCCGTGCTGGGCATAGATCTCGTGATTCCTTGTTGAACAGCCCAGGACTCATCCTCCCTGACCGTTTCAACCAACGCGGTGATATTTACGACCTCATGAGAGCCATCGGCCTCTATTGATAGGCACCGACACTGTCCGCCTGGAAATCGATATCGTAATTACACGCTCAACAACCTTGTTGTCACGCTTCAACACAGATACAACAAATTGGACAAATTGGATACCAGCGAGGATCTCAACAGAGTCATCTACCTGTGCCGGGAATCACTTCAGTTAGAGCACCATAACTACCCCAATCGTCGCTTAACTCCTTGCAGTTCAAGCTCGGCGCTCTGTTCTCGTTTCACGTAAACTCAGAGGAATGGAGATGTCCAGAAGGCCACTCGACTCTGCCAAAAGTCATTGGAGGCTTTGCCTTCACTGCACACAAGTAATTTTTTCAGCTACCCCTGGTAGCGGGAAGCATCTCTGTCTCGCTACAGAGTGCAACGCAAGTCTGCTATTTGTCACTCGCTGTTGAGAACTTCAGATTGGCGTCAAGACCCCCTTTATCGATTTCAAACAGCTCTGTACTGGGTTGACACAACCAGCCCTGGAAGCATACCAAATATGCTTGGAGTTTTTCACATGACGCGCTCCAGTCCACAAGTTCAAATCTAGCTCGCAAGATCTCAGAGCTTAGCAAGAGCCTTTCTGATGTTCAGAATTCCACCGGCAGCGCTGACTGAGCTGCTGCTGATCAAGCAGCAATTCATTCAGTACAGGAGACTTCAGGAGTAATGCGGAGCGGTGGTAACTGATATACGAAATCTTCCAGTTTCTCGCGGTTCCTGCTTCTGCCGTCGTATACAGAGTTGCAAGCGACAGCACGTCATGGCCCAGTTATCGTCCGCATTGCGAGTCAATACTCGTACAGTGCCATCATTGTCCTGACGTCAGGAGAGCCTCGTCACGTTCGCTTCCTCCGCATCACTCTCACACATCTGAAGAGGCTCAAGAATGACTTTGTCAGAAATATTCGACTTACATCTTCTATACGTCCAGAGGAAATGAGGAAGGAATTGCAAGTCCTCTTACGGACAGTATGGGACGAGATCATGCTGCCCATCGTCATCGCCCTCCAGTGACCTCAGAGTAACACGCCGCTCTCGAATCTGGCTGTGCCCAACTGCAGCCTTCACTTCCATTCCTCTCTGCACAGCTTACCCCTTCGAACGAAGGCAGACGGACGTGGGGCGGAACAACACCTGGAGGGCGTCTACATCTGTTCTCACACACCATTTCTGCATGGGCAAAGTTCACCGGGCGCGGGCAAGGCGAGGAGCTCTTGAATGTCGAGAGCGCGAACTTGGGCTCGTCCCCGCGACGGCCAACCCCATCACTCTCTCCGGTGATGATGCCGCGTGAGCAGTTGCGCACTCGACGCTTTGTGACGCAACACCTGGGTACACCTCGCTTGTCATAGAAAGCAGGACTTCACCATGAGAGACGAACCTCGCTGTTTGACATTATGGGGAACGACATTCCTCATGCTGAATTTGCGTTCTTATCGGCGTGTCATACTGCCATTGGTGATGAAGAGACACCCGACGAAGTTGTTCACCTCGCAGGTGGACTCCAGTTTTCGGGACTCAAAAGCGTTATTGGCGCGCTGTGGGTGGTCGACGGTGACGTCGCAAAACACGTTGTTGAAGCTTTCTACGAGAATATGTTCAGGGATTGCGCCTTGTTGAGACATGCGAGTTGATTCTCGCTCGAGTTATGTTTTGACTTGATCGAGGGAATGTAAATTACTTGAAGATGCCGATTTCCCGCTGGTGAAAAGTGTTAGAAGACTTTGGCAAGATGATGCTTGCAGGTTCGGAACGCCTGACGTCTGGATCTATATGGATTCTGCGCTGCCCTGTCCGAAGTTTGCAATATACTTTTGGGATTTGGTGAAATACTTCAACTCTTCTTCGTTCACTTCTCCCCCCGTCCTTCAAGTCGGGTCTTGGAATTCTTCACAAGGCTTTGAGGACTCTACCTCACCTATGCCAGGGGCTCATGCTAGCGAGATGGTGACGCGTATCGTCCACACCAACGCGCTTATGCACGACGGCAAAGGCCACGGCCCACGAGAGGTGATAGACGTGTCTAGATTGTCCGGTGTTTAGCTACGGCTTTTAATTGAACAGAGAACGTACTACACCCAAGCTTCATTAACGATTACACTCGCTCAGGGCGTCATAGGCGTAAAACAAGAGTAAGCTTGCCTTGGCCAAGTGCCCTAAAGCGTGATGTGAGATATACAATAAGTAGACTTTGTATACCGAACAAGCAGTCAGTTAGTCGTACAGTGACAGTTACCGAGTATATATACAAACAACATATACCAGTAAAACCCAGAAATGTGAGACGAGGTTTCTGTTGGATTCTGCTTGACGCTTAGTAGTGCCCTCTATGGTTCCGTCCTCCTTTGGAATGACGATGGACTTCGCTGGACGCTTGACGCTTGGTGCTGTTGTTGCTAATGCCCCTCAACTCCAAGGCCCATGCCGTGTCGATCCCTGAATGTCTGGTGTCGTTGACAATGTCCTGGTTGTTGTTGCTGGCAGTGTCCTGTGTATTCCCAGCGGGTAAGGTCTGGGATCTCTTGCTGTCGAGACGTTGGTATTAATTGCACGTAACGCGCCGCACGAGCAGGATAACTGACGATGGGTACAACTTCTGGATGATGGAATCATCATCACGTTTGGTAGTGACAGAGTCTAGGACGCGACCCGGGGATCTCTCACTATCAAGACGTTAGTATTGATCACACTCAACATGCTGCACTGGTAGAATAACTGACTATCGATGGATATTGGCGCCGTCGTCACATTTGGTAGTGACAAAGTCTAGGACCCGACCCAGGAATCTCTTGCTGTCAAGACATAGGTGTTGATCGCACTCAACACGCTGCACTGGCAGAATAACTGACAATGGGAAAAATGTGGTATTTCTGTGGATGGTGGAGCTGTCGTCACGTTCAAGTAGAAGTGACCTGTGAATGACTAGCCTAGAACGCATTCGCTGGGTGTGCTCGGTGGCTATTTGATAGAGACATGAGGGACACTCGACACAGCAACAGCGGGAGCGATAAGGGCAACTAATTCATTAAATTTTCACAGCAAGAGGTGAGAGAAGACGCAGAAACTTGATGCTCGGATCCCTAGTATGAGCAATATCGAGCACCGATCATATATAGAACTTCTACTGCGCCTTCTATGCCATGATGCATCGTCGCGGTCGAACATCACATCCAGATCATTCAGGTAGGGTAGTGGGACATGCATGCATGAATGCTGAGTATAGGCGCACAGCTGGAGTCGGGCTTCCGCCGCTGACAGTTTGGTGTGGGCCGTGTGGGCGGTGGCGTCTAATGATCATTACTATGATTGCCTTTTTTAGAACCACCAGGGTTTTGCCAAATGATATCATTATCACTACAAGCGCTCTCATGTTTCAGACGATGATGTGAGGTATGATGCATGACGACTGACGACTGACCTCGAGGAAATATCGAGACTGGGGGCTTATTAGACGTACAAAGAAGAGCAGTCATAACCCCTGGTCTCCGCACAGGTCAGACCATGGTATGTAGAAAATTTTAATCTGCCAGCGGTGAGCGTGATATTATTCATGCAACACTTTTTATAGTCATTCTCTGTGAACACCTTGGCGCATTTAATTGCATGCGGGTCCACCGATAGCGACTACATGCTGCTCGAGTATTGGTTAAAAGTGCGCGACCTTATCTTCATTCCAATCCTTTTCCCTCAACCGCAGTATGGACGCGCACAGTGATGATACCGAGAAGAAGATCGATAGCTTTGAGGCTAGTAAGGATCTCGACCCCGTTTTAGTGGACCCTGCCGAGGAGTTGAGCTTGCATCGTGGTTTGAAAGCGAGACAGATATCTATGATAACGGTGATGAAAATTCTCATAATACATCTTGCGAACCAAACTAAAACTCTCTCATTCTACCTAGCTGGGAGGCTCGCTGGGCACAGGCCTCATCATCGGTTCAGGTACTGCTCTCGTCAGAGGAGGTCCACTAGGTCTCTGGTTTGGGTACTCCTTCATGGGCATAGTCTGTTACTTCGTCATGATCTCTCTAGGAGAAATGGGTGCATATCTCCCCCATAAGAAGGGTTTTGCAGGATATGCGACTCGATATGTTGATCCTGCCTTCGGCTTCGCTCTTGGATGGAATTATGTGTTCAAGTACTTCATTCAAACTACGAACAATGTTAATGCGGCGGGCGCTGTGGTGCAGTATTGGACCTTAAGTGTACCTATTGAAGTTTGGATGGGTGCGTGCATCTTTTTACAATCCAATCATGCACTGATCCTTGTTTCAGTGATTTACATTGCGCTGAGTGCGTATGACGTCTGTCCGGCTAGCCCAGCTAACATGTCTTACATTAGTCTTCCTCATCAACTTATTGGGCATTCGCATCTTCGGCGAAGTCGAATTCTGGTTCTGCAGCATCAAAGTTGTCGCTTTGGTTGGTCTTATCTTGATGGGACTTATTATCGACCTCGGCGGCAATCCCCAACACGATCGTATTGGCTTCAGATACTGGAGAGCACCCTACGGACCCCTCCGTGAATATCTTCTTGCTGAAGTACACGACTCTCGTCTTGCTCAGTTTCTTGGATTCTGGAGCAACCTTACTACAGCTTTGTTTTCGTACATCGGCACAGAGCTGATTGGCGTGACCGTAGGCGAAACTGAAAATCCAAGGAGAAATGTTCCAAGGGCTATCCGTAGGATGTTCTTTCGTATTTTGGTGTTTTACGTAGGAGGCACGTTCGTCATTAGCTTGACGATACCGAGTAATAGCAGCGTACGTGGGTTTGTGCACATAAGGGGCTGTTCCTGACTTTATTGTAGGCACTTTTTGTGGCTAGTACATCTCCAGCTGGTGCTGCTGCATCGCCATTTGTCGTAGGTACGTGCCTTGTCCCTACCCATGGACTATGCAACTCTGGGACCTAACGTCTCATCGATTAGCGACAACCATTGCTGGCATAAAAGTCTTGAACCATATCATCAATGCCGTGGTGTTGATCTTTGTGCTTAGTGCATCAAACTCAGACCTCTATATCGGCTCCAGAACGCTCTATGGCCTCGCTGTGGAACGCAAGGCACCTCGTATATTCGCCAAGGTTAACCGCGCTGGGGTTCCTTGGCCCTCACTCATTCTGAACACATTAGTCTGCTTCTTGACATTCCTTAATGCGACTTCGTCGAGTTCTGTTGGTAATGAACTACGTCTGTTCATCGCATGTAAAATGCTTATTATTCGGTAGCGTTCGGCTGGTTCGCAAGCCTTATTGCAAGTTTTGGCGCTATTACGTGGATGTGTATATCTTATACCCACATGTATGTTGTTTATACTGAGCAAGTTGTCATTTTCTGATGGAATTGCTTCCAGCGCCTTCATGCGTGCGTTGAAAGCTCAAGGAATGGATCGAAACACTCTCCCATACAAGGCACCCTTTCAGCCATATGCTTCATGGTTTGCCTTGATTTTCACAGGCATCGTGCTTTTTTTCAATGGTAGCATTTATCTGATCATGTCTGCAATCTGCGCTAATCACATCAAACAGGTTTCAGCGCTTTTCTTCCCTTTGTATCGTCATCATTCATCACGTCAGTGGCGAAGGTGATCGTAATCTTCCGGAATGCTAATTACAATCCAGATCTTACATCCCTATCCCTATTTTTTTCTCGCTATGGGGCGGATACAAGATTTACTACCGCACTTTGACAATCCCCGCAAGCGAAGCCGATCTTATTACCGGAAAACGTGAAATTGATGAAGAAGAAGCACGATTCCTTGCTCGGGAAAAGCTGAAAGGTCCACGTTCTGGAATACAAAGGATTTGGGATGCGCTTTGAATAGCCTACCACTGAAACAGTAAGTCTTCCCAGCTTTCGAAAAAGGCATCCATATAACAAAGTTTTTCGCCTCAAGTTATTTACACCTCAAGGCCTTAAATTAATTCACATTTGGTTATCACGAGCCACGTATTTGCTTTGGTTTTAATTGTGTGCGAGATAAGATAACCTACTTTTGAACGTTAAGGTTCGCGCGGCGTTTCATGTCGTGCAGGGGCCCCTTTCAATCTATGTCGCGAAGGGCGGTTCGCGCGCGGGAAAAAAATCATTGGCTCAATCCCGGTGCTCTGCTGATTTCCGGCCTGGGACACGGGACAGGGAAATAATGGAATGTATCCGTAGCTTCTTTCTTCCAATCCTGCGTTGTGATGGTCCACCCGCATCAATATTTACTACTAATTCGGGTATTTGGGCGCCCAAACGGTGTTACCTTGGCCGCTCTTGGGCTGGTGGCGCCGGATACCGCTGCCAATCGGTGAACTTTGTGAAGGGGTCATTCTGATTGCCCTTGATATGCCTTCCTTGGCCTTTGATGCTGGAGCACGGGAACGTGAAAACAGCTAAGTGTATACATGGCATGAAACAGGAGCAAAGAGCGGACACGTTGAATTTATCATAAAGTTCCTAGCAGGCGACATGCCTGAATGAGAGTATAACTAAAACTATTCTCTTTGAGACCTGATTTATCGTAGCTCTCAGGGTCATGGGACGTCTCGGAACCTGGTTTTTTTTTTCATTGATTAGGAGAAGCTGTCGCGGCGCATGTTAGTCTTGTTCGCGTTTTCGCCACCCAATCGACTCCTGGCCATATAGAGTAGTAGAGAGCGGATCGAAGGCGTCCACGTAGAAACGCTCGTCGACTTCTTTTCTGATGACATCTTCAATCTTCTGCATGAAAACTTTGTTTCGTCCAAGTTGAATGTAAACCACAGACGACATGATACTACGATCCCCGGCGGACAAAATCATTCCGAGACCTCTTTCGTGGTTCCGGAAGTCGAAAAGATACTTGGAACATTGACATACAGGCGGACAGTCGTACTCTTCCAATATTTCTGGAAACCAGGTCGTAAGCCCAAGCGTAGAAATCTGATCGAGCAGTTTTTGACTCAGCGCGACGACGCCAACGCCACCTAATTGCTTCAATTCATCCCACTGAAGGATATCGGCTGGAAGTCAGCAATTTCCGAACGGCGGGAGCGAATTACGAATTAGATTTCTTACATCCCGAATGTCAGTTACTAGCAAAGAAGTGTTCAGAGAGTTTTGGTGGATGTAATCGATGCATGATTGTATCGTCTTAATGCCAGGATGGTCGGGAGTAATTGGGTGTTCGACTTCCACTTCGTCTTTCTTCTCGAACCATGTCATGATCTAATAGTAGAAGTAGCTTTGAACGGTGGTTTAATTGCATGCAATGATGAAGTACTCACTGGAGCGATATTCATACTCAGCATAACTGCTCCAGCTTCGATGCAGGCGCGAGCATGTGCAAGGGAAGTCACCATTGAAAGATGTACACCTATTGAGTATTTGTCGGTGAGTTGGCGCGCAGCACGGATACCGTCATCTGTCGCTGGAAGCTAAGAATAGTCAAAGGAAGGCTGTATGCGCTACTGGAAGCACACTACCGTGATGATAACTCTCCATCGTCGGACATCAGCTCGGTCAAAAAGTTCAACGAGGGCACGGGCTTCGTACACCATGGCCGCCTTGCTGTTGTGAAGGCGCGAATCGATGAACATCACCACCGGGCCTTTGACTACACCTAACATGGCCAAGCCAAGTTCAAAAAGCTGCAAGACTATCAGCGAGCCTTCACGCAGGGTAGAAGTCTAACACACGAATTGCCGAAGGACAAGCCTCATATAGAACGGTTTCGAGCATTTTCTGTTATATGATCGCTGACGCTCCATAAACATAGGGAACCAAAGACTAACGGATATATTTCGAGTACTTTCTTAGTAGCGACCCAGACATGATAACGAATGCCAGTCGTATCTGCCAGGTCACTGACATTCCTCGGGGTGAGCAAGCAGCCCCAAACGCCACGAAAATACAACGCTGCTCACAACTTCAGTCAATCACATCCAGTGACACAGCCAGGGGAACATACCCATAATGTCAGCCGTATCCCCATAGATCGGGACATCCCTGTAAGGAAACGAGGGGACTACCCCCATTTCCTTTGCCTCGTTGGAAGAGGGCTCAGGTAGAGCCCCATAGCGAGTGCTCATCCATAAATCCAACTTAATTTTGTCCTCCCTTGAGATAGGGTAAGTACCCTGGTATTCGGTCCGTCGGGGTTTTTGCGGATAGTGCATACGTTCATCGGTAGTGGCGCTAGGGACGGCCATTCTGTGAGAGCGATACCCGTTCCCTGCATCGCCCAGTCAGCTTTTTAAAGCAACAGAATGTCCACAAAACGACCACTGTGGCTCATTGTCGCATGTGCAGGCTCGATGTTTTGCCAGCCTTCAAAAGCGGCATAAGCCTGCACGCCGCAGCGATCTTTTTTTTATCAAAGGGAGATAAAGAGAGGCACCATTCTGTTTCATTTCTAGACACATTCTGACAGATCTGAACGGCTTTTGACACGACTGTTGACTCGGTGATATTTTCTTCGGATCATCATCAGCCGATCATCAAAGACGACAATAGCCAACCGCAGTATCAACGGTCAATCGAGCTTCATAAACACTGTGGGCGTAGAATTCTTCAGAAATAGGGTGGTGCATGCCATGGTCACCGTCGACCCCGAAGTCGTCCAGTACACGGAGCTATAAGCCAATCGTTTCATGCGTTCAAAAGGTCCGATGAAACTGCTAGTTGCAGGTAGTGGCGACGCACGCCCGGCGAAGGTTATGTCGCTTTACCCGGGGGGAGGGCTCGAATCGGCGTTAGTCCGAGCCCAGAACGTCTGAATCTTCTCTTCATGAATCATGGATCATGGATCCAGCGAATCCGATGCACGTCCAAAGGAAGTCCGAAGCTCGAATCAAGCTGTTCGCAGAGTCCAAAGATGAAGAGGGCAGTGATTTTTAGAGGCAAAAAGGGTCTGGAATTATGCCCGAGCAAGTACCCGTTTCCATCAGAATGTTCACTGCCTTGATTGTTCTAGTGTGGTATTTGGCGCTTGGGAGAATATAGATAATTTTAAAAAAGTTATCGACGTCGGCAACGCGAAGAGATGATGTGGATATGGCCGAGGATGTCAGCTCTTTGCCAATGTCGCAGGCAGGAACAAGGGAGACTTCAAGTTCGCTGAGCTTTGAGGTGTACGAAAGGATATACGTAACAGTCATCGAAGAATCTGGCAGATCATTTGAAACAGCCGCGAAGACCAAATTGAACGGGGTTACCAAAACCGCATCAACGCTCAGTTGATCGAAGCGATGTAAAATTGATAGGTTCCGTAGATACAAGTCGCAACAATAATACTCATAACACACACCTACTTACATTACAATAAGTATCAAGATTATACAATTCATGCACATATATCCACTAGAATGCGTGATAACTTTTTACAATAGCGAAGCGCAAAAATTAGAAGTAGTAGGTTGTTCGTAGGCTCTAGAAATAGCGATGCGGCAAAGAGAGCTAGACGAGATGCAGCGAGACAGTGATAGCAATAGAGCGGGGGTATCATCTAAACCGATCAGTCCAAAAGAAGAGAACAACAATTCGACGTATTTCGGTTCTACCGATGAACCTGGGCACGTTCGGCCGAATAAGCATGCCAGTTATCCACTTCAGCTTCTGGCACAGTTTGGGCAAATGGAGGGAGAGTAGTGTGGTAATGGTTTGAGGGCCCATTATGGTTATGATGGTTTGATGACTGGAAAAACGAGTCTGTAAGCGGTTGAGATATTGATTGCGTACAACTTACGCTGTAATGATCGTCTTCAACTTTGACGGATCCGTAATGATTGGAATGGTAGTTGCTTGGAAGTGGGTGATGCGACAATGAACTTGGACGACTGTTGACCGGGGAATGCGATGAGTGTTGCATTTGGGTGGGCTGCTGGTGGGTGAAACAGAAAACAATGGTCACTAGGATCCAGAGAGTTCTCATAGAGTTGGAGGACATTACGTCACTCGCGCAAGGAAAAAGCACTCGCCGAAAATGGAGGACTTGAAGTTGAACTTGATCCGGACGGAGTATGAGGAAGGTGATGAAAAGCGGGAGCGTGCAAATTAAAGAGCGAGGAGGAGTTGCCTGAAACACCGCCATGACCAGATGTGCCATTGTGGGAGGGTATATTGCCATACTGGTGATGGGAAATTGGCTGCGGAATGGTAAGTGGAGGTGGACGATCACCATGAGGGGCGTCTTGCGGCTATGTAAAAGGCGTTGTCAGACTACTAATAGTGTTGAGGAAGGAAAAGAACAAACCATGTAGAGATCATCCATTTTTCGTTTCTTGAAGTCGCGGTCACAGTTGCGAGTGTCGTGGAAGTTGGACATGGAGTGCCGACGATAGTCGGAGGACAAATGACCAGCTCGATGGTCAGATTCCAACAAACGTCTCATTTCTTCATTTTCTTTCTGCAAGCGAGTATTTTCTTGCTCGAGCTCACGAATCTTGACCAAGGGGGGCGGTAAAGCCGCCACTTGGTCTGGGGTAAAGCCCAAAGCAGTTTGTAGTTTAGTGACAGTTTGTTCGAGCTGAAAAAAAGGGCAAGGTTAGAAAACGCGTCAAGTTCGCGTCGTATGGAGCTAACCTGCTCGATGTAGGCCTTTCGCTTTGCACGATGGCGAGCTTGAGCTTTAGCATTACGGCTACGCTCTGGACGATCGGGTTGTGACGAGACAGATTCAGCAGCGGAGTGAGCCATCGAGGACATGTAACGTTATAACGTAACCTTGGGAGAGGAAAGATAGTTCGGGGTTGTAAAAAAAAAAGGATTGGACGGTTATTATAGTTGGCGTACGTTGAAAGGACTCCACTCAGACGCCCAAGCCATCGCAACTATTCCAAAAGAATTCAGTGCCTCGGATTCCGAATTATTCGCTTTGAAAAGTCAGCCGACATGTCTTCAATGCGACCCTGGTGGCAAGCTTGATTCCTTGCAATCTTGAATCAAATCTTAACGAACCTTCTCCGACTCCATTGCATTACATTACAATGTCTGAGTGTTCACGGAAATCCTTTGATCAATTATTTTACCTTGCCCCCCGGCGGTTCACCCCAAGTACCGCAACTTACCTTCCTATGTTGCATTGAAGATAATAATTTTTCACAAGAGAGTTCCCCCGTCGGCAAGTTGCGGTTGTTCCATCAGGCTAATGCCGCTGTGCCTTAGGGATGCGTTCGTGTGTTGATCCCCGATCAACAAAATATATTATAATCTACTTCCGCGTACAATCTACTCAATTTTAAAACTCAGAACTCCGCGATACTCCGCCACTTCTCCAGACCTTTCGTTATTGCGAAGTGTTCGCTGAGATGCACTCCCCGAATTATAGCGTACATGGGTCTACTCATCTTCTGTGATTATACTGCTAATACAACCACTACTACTACTAACAAACTACTAACTCACTAGTACCCTCGGATATCCACGGCTGCTTCGAACATGTCACCATTCAGGGACTCCGTCTATCATAAGATCGAAGCCCTCTCTCCCCATGTATATCCCCCAACACTCCCGTATACTAACAAGTACGCTTATCGACCAGCGGCTATCAACTTCCGCTCGATGGGAATCCGCGCAGAAATGGCGAGGTGCCAATCACCTGCCACCTCGGTTATATATCGGTGCTCAATTAATCGAAAAATATATCCGTATCTTGGGAACATAACCGATACCTTTCGGTGAGATCCGGTTCCGCCAATGAGTCGTCCTACTAGTACTAACACCAGCTGGGGGGTCTATTCACACAAGAAAAAAAAAAAACGCGACTGTCTGCCAGTACTAGCTGACTCCGTGATTGACGGGCTCTTCATACCCTTTCTCCAAATCGCAACTACTAACCAAGTTGGTAGTTTATCCACTTTCAATCTGAACCCCACCAATTCAATCGGCAATCCCCGTCCTCCCACGCGAAGGCTGTGCAAGTCTCTTCACGCCAAACTTCTTTCCGATCCAAGCCTGTGACTGGGTGATCTTCATTTATTAGCCAACCTGGGTATGTCTGCCGCATTAATGTCCTGCCTTTGTACGTCATGCCACTCCCATTCAACGCCTCGCAATCGCGTTCGAGGGTCCCTCTCATCCTTAGCCGCTGGCCACTCAGGTTCAACCTAATAATAATCACCGCAGCGAAGCCTAACAAGGGTACACACGGACCCATTTTGCGACTGGTACCAGCCTAGCTCGAGCGCTTTGTTTCCCTGCGGTTCGGAACCTCCAATATAGGCATGTAAGAGCCGAAGGGCGACCAGGTCGCCCATCGACCCCCCATACATAATATCTAATGCGGTTCCAATTTTGATAGGCGCAAGGCGTGGAACATTCCACCACACGATATGGGGTCGCGCCTCGGTGGCCAGTGGCCGACCATCCTCCTTCCTCTTTCGACATTCGTCGATTTATTTATGGCCCCTTCATCCCAAGCTCACACTCATTGATCGAGGCATCATTGCATATTGCGATAACTGGCATGGTATACTTCCAGGACATCATCATCATCTTCCTTTCCTGTACCGTCGGAAAATTGGGCTACCAACTCGTCCCGGCCACGAGTCTGATCGTGGTGGTATTAATCTTCACTTTCCTGTGGTCTCGGATGTCGCGATCACCGGCAATTAAGCTATCTCGGGACTCTCTCCTCCAGCCTCATGGAAAGCTCAAGGCATATCTAAGCGAGATGATGAGGCTTTTACTTCCAAGAGATTTGCATGGGAAGAGGTATCCGGCTAAACTTCTCAGTTCAGGCCAGAGAAGCAGATAATATTGACTTCGGGACAATGTTTCTCCTAGGCTAGAGAATATGTAGCTCCGAGTCGAATCCCGAAGGCATGTTTGAGATGAACGGTCATCATATGCGCCGGCGCCTCGTATCTAAGTATGAGCTCTTCGGGAAGGTTGTAAACTTTAATAATGCGGCCCACAATTGTAATGGGGACAATTGTTATGGGCCGCTACCTACTCCTTTTGCAATAGCCAAAGGGTACTTCGGAATGGAACCAATAGTTTACCTCGCCTCCACGCACCGCATTTAGCAGGTGGCATCCGACAACGCAGTTAAATATATTTGCTTATCACTAGTACACAGTCTTGCAGCAAAGTGAAAATGAATGCATCGCGAACGGATCGTATCATATACTGACGAGCTCTGCTATGGTGCGGTCGGCCGTCGGCTTTGACAATGGCAAAAACGTTGACACGTTGGAAGCGATTTGATCGCAACCCCGAGTGCCTAGACGCGTGGACTCCGCGACGCTGTATCTAGCAAAGGTGGTAAGTCGGGTCCGTTCGGTTTCAGATATGATTGTTCTTTTGTCCACGTGCATTCAACATTGCACGTTTATCGTCCTCAGATTTGCAACGCTGGCTGATATCGACACGGTCGCTCGCACTGACTCTATGGCCCCTATGTGTACCATACCAGTTACTCCGCGGGTCTAACGCTGGAAACAAAAAGAGCAACACTGGTGAATAAATTACCGTTTTACCAGCCCCTGGGATGCATTTAATAGGTATCTGTGCAACACTTCAAAACATGAAGATAAATCAGTACTACATCTGAACGGGATGACGGCATGGGGTCATGACGGGTGGACTGTTACAGTTCATCATCCTCGGAGAGGACCAACCGCCCCGTCCCGGTACGTCGAACGCCCGCCAAGTCCATCCCTGCATCGTCTTCGCTCACGGTGTCCATTGACATTGATCGCTTTGCAGAACGTTTTGGAACCGGCCGCGGTCTTGGGCGCGCCCTAGGTGCGGGAGTTTCTGGTGTACTGGAGCGACTTCTCCGCATGGCCCCGAGGATGTCATCTTCACCGTCTGAGACATTTTCATCGGCACTGGACTCTCCTGCCGGTTGATTCTCGGGGTTCCCCACATTACCCTGCTTCCTAGCCTCAACATCTTTACCTTTTCTCCGCCGTTTTTTAGTTCCCGTCGCTCGCATGGTTCCGATCTTGCCACTTTGTGCGGCTGCCATGACAGCTTTATCTCTTAATGCCTTTTCCCTTTCGAGGAAGGCCTCCATATCCCCGTACTCTGCATCACTGTCCTCAATGAACTGTGCTGACTTGTATTGCGTTTCTTCCTTCTTTTTCTTCTCCCGTCTCTTGCGCTTGGGCTCGTTATCGTCAATAAGCTCGATGTCAGAGTTAGAGGGTGATCGTCGTCTCCGTCGCCGACGGGACTTCTTGCTTATGAGCTCTGAAGCCTTCTTGCCGTCAAGGTCAATGGGATGTTGGAGGAATTGATCAATGACATTGAGGCTGCTCAGGAGGTCAGAAGGAGGAATCACTGCTGGAACAGCCCACTGTAACTCGTCACCATCTATAAACTGATCAGCTGGCCGCTGCTCAAAAGTTCGCAAAAGAACGAACCGTCGTCATAAATGGTGAACTTTAACAGTCGAAACATGAGCTTCAATATCGAGTTCTTCGTTGCGGCTTCCGCATGTTCATCGCTGATATATGGTATTACTGACAAGGCGTTAGCGCAGAGTAAAGTTGTCCAGAATCACCTACAGTAATCGAGAAATTTGGAGATTGCTTCTGCAGAAGGAGTTAACTTCTTCTGTTCATCGTCGTCCAGGTCAGGGTCTCCGTCTTTAGGCTTTTTATCCGTCTCCTCGATAATCTTATTGCGTTGACGAATGACTAGCACCAATATCTTTACAATTGAGGAATGATCAGAGTCATTCGGTGAAGATGATTGATATGATTACGAACGTCTTTGACCCATTCTATAAGTTCGGTCTTTCCATCGTCTACTAGGGCCGCTATCGCAATTCCGATTTGCTCGCTCCACGAGTAACCCTTCTTCACTTGCACCTCGGGAGGGAATTTGGTATCTTCTACTATCTCGCGCTCATGGCGGCCTTTGCGTTCCGGTTCCCAGCTCGAGTACAGTTTCCAGTGTCCGCGGTTCTTGGGGAAGAATGCCTGATTCAGATTGAGACAGATAAGCATTGAGCGTTAGTACGTGAGATAACAAAAATGAAAACCTCACCTCCACCGCAAGGAATGGCTCTCCTTGCAACGCCTTGAAGAACCTGTGCAAAATGAAATTGACCAATTTCACAAGGTCCTTGGACGACTGGTCCTTCGGCAATGACTTCTGATCATCGAGAATCGTTTTGAATAGATGGAGTGTCGAAACCTATAAGAACTTGTATATCAAGAAACGAGCAACACATAATTGCAACTTACGTTGAAATATAGCCCTTCTGCCTTAGCTTTCACGGCTTGTCGGTGGATCAAGTTCACCACCCTCTTCATGAACTCAGGGGAATCGAAGTCCCTGTAGCGCGAAAGATATGTCAGAAGGGTCTTCGTTATCGCCGAGTTTGCAAATTTCTGCACATCAATCAACCAACTGTCAATCAATGTTCCGCTTCGATCATGCGACATACCATTTCGAAGGCATCAAAGGTGAACATTGTCTCGTGGACGACCTCCTCCTCGCTATCCCCATCAGGTTCCTCAACGTCAGGCACCCCATCTTCATCAGCTAGTAGTCCCTGACCTGCGATAACTTAAAATGACACTGAAGGCGGAAAATGTATGACTTACCCGTGGTCTTCCTCTTACCCGGCTTCTTTTTCCTGACGTACACTGCCCCAGTATTTTCTTTCCCCCACCGTTCCAACATCCGTAGCAATGCGTAAGCGAGGTGCACACTGGCATTTAGATAAGCTAGTGATTGCGTCCCCTCCTTGTAAGATCGAAGGCTTTCAAGTGAAATGTCAAGAACGTCGCCATTATAAATCAACTGTTGTTGTAAAACAGCTGCAGCCTCATTGAGCTGAGGGTCGGAGATTACCGACGAAGACATGACGTCGATCAGGAGAAGGAGTTGAGTAAGGCATTCTATTCCCGCTTGCAGCTCGTTCCACATTTTCGGCTGCAAAAAAGCTAATGTGAGCCAGCGACCGTAACAGGTGATAGCTTTGACTTTCACAATACCTTTTCATCCATAGCTTGTCTCATCCGCTTCAAGACCCAAATGATCCACCCGCGGTCGGTAACTTCCGCTACTAGCCCGAGGTTCCATTTTCGCTGTCCTTCGGCGGCCTTTTCGTTGGACCGGGATGTCAGGAAAAATTCAAGGAACCACTTCGTGACGTAGAGCAACCGAAGATGATCTTTTTCTTTGATCTTCGGGCGTTCGGATTTGATGTCTTTGAGCAGAGAGCGGAGGAACGCTGCCGAGAGAATGAGGAGGACTGGATGTATGGAAAATGACTATACAAACGATTAAACGATGACTCCACAGACTCGCGAGCAAAACCCTGAAGGACTATCTTGGCTTCGACAGATAGATTGTCCTCGCGGGCTAATTCGTCAATTTTGTTGCTTTTGCGAGCTTTGGAACGCTTGGCAAAGTCGAGAACGTTTCCAGACTCTCGTGTGATAGCTGCTTGGCGATGAAGGACTAGCGGCCTAGAATTAGAGGCTGGATCGTTTGGACCTTCGGTGTCTGCATCTGGAGCTACTGGTTTCTTGCCCGGCCTAAGCTGCACGGAAATAGTTGTCCCAAAACGGGAGTGCCGTGAAGATGCATTCCTTGCCAAGTCTTTCTTTTTCTTGTCCTCTGCAGCAAGCAGCCGATGAAGGTTTTGCGCTGGTTGCTGAAGTGGCGTTAGGATGCAACAAACAAAAATAATAAGGAACTTCACTTTTGACTGGTCTACAGCCAGCAGATGAGGTTTTACGCCGCGAAATAACAAATAGAATATCTCGAGCACAAGAGTATTTGATGCGTTGAAAAGAGGATCGTTGGACGTATTGGCAGCAATGGTCAGAAGCAAGTCCAGTGTGTGTGTTTCCGAGAGTACTTTTACAAGTCTAGTCTGCAAACTCGAGTACTCCACTTGGTCCGCGCTCAGGTGCGTATTTGCAGGGAGGTCCTTGATAAATATCAAGTTCCGGATGAGATGCAGAATCAGATTGACTATCTGTCCATCGCGCTCCTTCCTCTCCTTTGCAGGCTTTGAGATTGGGGGGAGAACAATCCCAAAGAGAGCTTGCATGACGCCTGGCTTCAGAAGTGCAGCCTTGTAATTGAGATGGCTGAACATTAGCTGGGTATAGTCCGTCCCTTTATCAAGCTCCTCATCCAGCTCCTGCAGCTCTTCCGCCATATCAATTGGCCAGGTCATGGCAGTTATTAAGTCTGCACATGCGATGGCGCGCTTGTCTTCTACGAGTCCCTTGCCTGCAGTCGCCAACAGTATCGGTACAAGGTCGTTTGGGAGGACCCGGGTCTCCCAAAATATGCGCGCGACCGTACGCTCGTCATCTGTGTCGTCCTTCCGCCAGAGTTTCTTCAGATCTCGGAGACAACCGCTGACTTCATCGCCCATGCGGTAGGCACCACCTTCGTAACCACCAAGTGCATCAACGACTCGTTGGACGACAGGCTCGAGAATAGCTCTTCTGTCGACTTCTTCCAAGTCGGACTCGTGGGACGAGTGGATAGAAACGACATCGTTATCCATGGACGAGTGCTTTGACGCTGAGCAGAAGGAGTTGCGGTGCTCGACGCGAATGAACAACACGCGGTCTGTCACACCACGTGATGGAAGTCGCAGGTTTCACATTTATCATTTATAAGATTACAGAAGTCCCACTAGACAAACGACACCAACTCGGGCCTACAAGGTGCGTACACGAGTCGTACTTGGCGTTGTCCTCTCCGATTCACGCGGTTCTCCCTCACGTCGGGGACCTCAGGCCTCATTGCTGGAGATCCCTTGCCGTCTTCAGTCACACAAGATGGAGTAGCTTGGCGGCACTCACTGAATGCAGCGATGCATTCCTTGTACGTAGGCCACAGCACTCGTATCAGTAGCGCGATGGAATATGACGTATCAGAGATTTGCAACGACGTTATTTGACATTATCCTGTCAGAGATGAGCTTCTCTTTCTCATGCCACCAGGGTAAGGCAACTGCCGTATAGTAAGCTTTCATGACTCTTGGGGTACAAAGCATAAACATTTGTCATGGACCTGGAGGAGGGCTGCAGCTGGGCTGTAAATTAGTGGAGAAATGTGAAATAATGAGAAAGGGGGGTGACGATTGATTAAAACATATCATTGTGGCTGCCGGGCACTCCAAGGTACTTACTGCAGTGCTTGCTCGGTGTCATGACAGGCGTGGAAGTAGAGTGGACGGAAGCATAAGTAGCGCTCCAGATGGGCGTCGTTGGGCTGTAGATAAGTCAGGCACTTCGATGCCACCGAGGAACGAAAGAATTACGCATCATCTGATGCATATGAACGAGTAGACACCCCGGGCCTGGAAAATCCCGCAAAAATGCGATGACTTCTATGGACTATTCTGGATGATGTTCGTCAAGAGGTGCTCATTGTTAGAGGACGAGTTACTCACAAAGGCTACACAATACTGAGGAGAAGCAGTACATAGACTTGCGAAGATGTTGCTATGATGTGCCGTTTTTCTTCGCTGCTTTCTCCTTCTTCAACCTCTCCTTCTCGGCATCTGCCTTAGCAATTTCATGTGCTCCGTCATTTAGTCCCAGCCGGTTTCGGGCAATCTAGGGGCATACGACAAAAGTTTTTGTTAGTGAAGAAAGCCGTAAGATCATCAGTGATTGGGGTGGTTCTAAACTCACCTCAATAGCGTAGAACTGTATTCGTGTGACTAGACGTCATGAGGTTCGCATCAGGGACATCAACAAAGAATATTGGCAATACCGAAGATGGTGTTAGTCTCCCCGTACTCTTTCCTTGCATCCGTGCGGATGAGAGACCCAAAATTGTAATCTTTCACTTTTTTTTCATACCTGTAATTGAGTCGAGCTGTCAGCTGAGTCTCAACACATACCGATAGCACTCACACTTGACAAAACTCTCTCCACTTCTTTTTTCCAATGTTGCTCTTAAGCCAGTCCTCGTCAAGCTTAACAAGATGTGCATGATTTTCCTCATTGAACTCAGGGAACGTCGACATGGTATGTTCGTATATCTCGTCGTCAAGCCTGTCCACTCAAATGAGCCGCTGTGTGGTTCGAATAGAAGAGCCTCACTTTGTCAATTTGAGTGAACGCGGAGGAACTTTCTCGAGAAGGTTCCAGTATGTCTACCCAGTCATGATGGTGTCAGCTGCAGTGAAAAGCTGAATAGCCCGACACTCTCGCACCTGAGCATGTTCGACCGCTTTCACTGCAAATCTGCGGAGATTGACGAGTTTGGCATAGATCAATCTGCGCTAGACGCCCAAGTGTCTTTCGGCACTCACTGCTTCTCTATCTATACTCCCATGAAGCAAAAAGAACGAATGATGAGCACAGGAAGATCGTGTGAAGAGGATTGATCTACCTCGACGAGATTCTGAGCATTGTTAGGATCAAAGCTTTGAGTTGACATTATGTTTCTGGGACTTGAAAGGTCGATTTCTAGACAATTCTAGGAGTATTGTGGAGTAGATGGTGAGAAAAATCACTGCGGTTCGCGGATGAGTACCAGTCAGTCTACTAATGACGAACAAGGCACAAGGCGAAGTACCTCCGCGACTCATGTGACTGCGATCTTATCGAAGATAATCAAGCGTGTGCCACTACGTGCATAGTCTTTTTCAAAGTACTCAGTATCCTTAGGCAGATCTACCCAGTAGAATGGTGGTAACCGTTCCTTCTTTACTATGTATCGTTCAATGGAATGTTTGCGACATCTTCCAATAAACTTAAAACTGTATATCTCGCACGCAGAAAGATCAACTCCTAGAACTTGTTTTTGATTTCTTCTCAACGCCAACACCAAAGCGTTTCAACTTCTCAAAATACTTTTGAACGCGACTCGCAACCTGGCGTGGTGTCCGCCGACCATCCATAGCTTGCGAGATTTTTGCCCATCTATGACGGTTTGAGTCTTTTAAGCAGACAAGAAGATGAACGCTTACCGATTGCGCTCACCATCTGGAATTTCCTCGAGGAGTCGTTCGAGCAGGTGTTGTTCCGATACCGACCACGCCTGTTTATAAGTTTCGGGTCTTGGCTTGTCTGTATATGCTTTTGCTTCTGGTGCGGGTGGTGATGGCTCGGCTTTAACTTTGTGGTTAATATTCTTGACGTCAGTTGAGTTGCGAGATCGTTTCCCGAGAGTAGAAAGAGGGGGAATGGTGATTGACATGGACTCGGCGCTAGCCTCCAGGTTATTGTCGAGTGACTGAGGCTGGAGGGGTTTGCGCGAACGGGAAGATCGATTGAGGCTGTCAGGCTGTGTGACAAGACGTTGATTAATAGTCGAAGTGCGTCTCTTGGACCATGATGCTAAAGGCTGAGCAGGCTCCGGTGGTGCTATTGTGGATGGGGTAGATGGGACAGTCGTATTTGTGGAATCAATGGATGTACTGTCGTTGCCTGATGGCCATAGGGTGCTCTCGCTGATATCAACCTCCCCACTCTCGTCATCTACATCATTCCTGACAAATACTGCATCAGCCACCTCTCCATTCTCAGTGGCAGCGTGATATGAAATCTTTCTCTCTTTGAGTTTTTGTATTTTCGCATGTGCACGCTCACGCCTGCGCGTAGCTGTGAAGGATTCTTGGACGGGAGGTAATTTTGTTTGTTTCTCTTCCTCCACGCCTTCGTCCTCGGATAACGTAGGCTGATCGAGACTAGCATGGAATGGAGATGCGGTAAGATTAGAATTAGACGTAAGATAGAGTGCGTTTTCAGGGTCTAAGCTTCCCAAGACGGGGTCAATGATGATTCGCCGTGCATCTTTGACGAATTGTTGAAGGGCAGAAAGAGGGGTGTGTTGAGTGGTGTGCGGCACGCTCCATTCCGTGTGTGCGAGACGCTTTCGGACTGCAAAAGTTCGTAAAGGTGTAGGGTCTGCGACGAAGACGGGATTTAAGATTGCAGGAAGGTAAATGAAAGGACAAAATCCCTACCAGCCGAGGAGAAGACCTGCCAATGAACCTCGTTCGCAAGGGGAGATACGGAATATTCATTATTTTCCGACAACCTCAAACCAGGACTGTTGAACTGTAAAATAATAATGGAGGTTGTGCCATTAACCACGCGGTGAACTGCATACCTTCGAACCGATATTCTCGGTGAAGGCCTTCGGTTGGCTAAGGGCATCTGCCCTGAGCCTCCTAAGTCTGTCTATGTCTGCCTCTGCACGACTCAACAGAGATTTCTGAGTTTGTATGTAGGCGGACAGCGCCTCGAGCCTGTCCAAGGAGTAATAAGTTGGCCAAATACATCACAAAAATAACAGATAAAAAAACAGCAGGCGTACGTCTCGGCGCGTCTCGAGTCCATGTTTGCGATATCATGGAATTAACTCTCTCTCTGAGAGTTGCACCAAACCGATTATTGCAAAGTCCGAAATGATTCCTCTCTATAACAACCCAGCTAGTCCAGACTCAGTGCTAAAAATTATTTTCGCATAAATTGCGTAAATTGCAGCACGCACTGATTAAATGCTGACCCCTTATGGTACCTATTTCTCACGCATGCAGATGTTCAATTGATCATCCAAAAGTTCAACCGTGACCGAAGGACTCTCGTCGTCGTCCGAGACGGCGAGCACGCCTCATTAACCCACCGTTCATCATGGCATCCCAGGCCGCTTCATCGCACTCAATTTCTAACACCGCATCCTCCACATCTTTGTCACCCAGTCTCGCCAATCTCAACGCCCTATCTTCCCCCAAGCCTGATCATCAGCGGCGCATGACGGCTTCAGCACTACCAGCTCCAACATCATTGAACTTGGTATCGCTTATTGATTTTTGTTGGTGCTGAGTAGGCGACTGAACGTGTTGTTCAGCCCGAACCTGTTTATGGACATCCCGGGCACGCCCCAGGATCACCCCGGCGGCCACCATCACCCCTTCGTAATGAATTCACTCACAGAAGATTCTCAAATGAAAGCCACTCCGGAGATGATGCTGATGATGACGATGAAGAAGACCAAGATCTCACGTGGCCACGCAGCCGGTCCCCTACGTCCACCTCAGTCACTCAGTTCGCTGCGAACCTCGCAAACCGTGTCAATTCCTTCATCAGTCCTTCGATAACAGGCAGACCTCTTCCGTCTGATGACGAATTAGAAGCTGAAGCTCAGAGAGAGCGCGACAGAAGTCGACGAGAAGCCGAACGTATCCTCACACGGGAAGCAGAAGAAAGGCGAGCCATGGAGGAACGTGTCCTCTCTATGATGAATAGTTCTCCACAATCACTTCCCCCTCCTCGAAGTAGGTCACAGACGTTACCAAATCCTCCCTCTCCTGCGCACTCTCAGAAGGACAGTAGCCCCAGTTGGTGGACAGCCGCCAAAGCACGCTTGACTCCTACAAAAGATAAAGAACCACTCACTCCAGCCCAGCAAGTCATAGAAGAAACTAAGGCTCGTGAAAAGGAAACGAAGAGTGCTAAAGGAAAGGACAACGAATGGCCTGCCTGTTCTGCAAGCAAATATACCAACCCCGCTTACCTCAACTTGAAAATACCCCCGGGTGGCCCTCCCGCTCGCACTTCGTCTCCTACCTCCCCGACTCCAATTCGAACCCCCGTCAACCTTTCTCCTGCCCGTGTCACACAAGTTCCAATAAACCTCTCGCCCGCCTCGATTCAGAGAGGGGCTTCTCCTGGCGGTTCGCCTGCACGTGAACCACCTCCAATTTACGCCTCGTTCACACCCTCGGGTACTCTGGATGTGCCAGGTACACTGCTATTAATTGCGAAGCGTTTTGAGAAACTTGAGAGGTGGAGCGTCACCCACGTGCGTGCACTCGAGGAACGCATGGGTGATGTCGAGCGCTGGCTGGTCGACAAGGAAAACCAATGCAGCAAGGAAGGGGGATCTTCCAACAACGACAAACTCTCTCCTCAATCTGAGTTGGCTGCTATTCAAGGAGACGTCACTGAGCTACAGTCACGAATGTCGGAGCTTGGCCGAGAGATGGCTCGCCTTGCGACATCACCTGCCGCTCTCTCATCTAACAGTGCCATCCGTAGCTCGCCAGTCATGAGCACCCCTCCTCCGATGGAGTCGTCCATCGTCAGCCCTCATGAATCTACCTTTTCTAGCGCAGCGGACACCACAATCTCTGAATTCTCATCCCCCAATGCCACATCAGCTCTAGAAAATATCTACAGTCTCTCCACTCCCCGCCGAGTACCATCTCTTACAGCCCGCGAGTCGACGAGTCCACCCCTCGCTCGTGTGTCCACCCGTCGTACACCGTCGGCGAGCAGGACACGTCTTCCATATCCAACAGGCGACTACACTAGCCCGGGAGAACTAATATCCCCACCTCATACTCCAGCCAGCTCGCCTCCGCTACCGGCACGTCCTGCATCAATGGTAATTTCCGGATTACCAGCTTTGTCCAGTCCGCTGGAACTTCCCGCCGCAATCACTCCACCTGTCCGCGCGTCATCTCCTAGTCTGAGTGGCCTGCCCGCTCCCAGCATGCACAGTCCCCATCGAGGCAGCGTGAGTCCTTCGCCTATGCAAGCAGGGCGTAAGCGATACACCGTCGCTCTTGGTGGACCCATCGTAGCGCCCCCTGAAGCCGAGCTTGACTACGGGAGCGAACGTTCGGGCCTCGGCATGGCGTCTTTCTCTACAGCAGAGAGCAGTGACGACGACGACGACGATTACCAAAATGCCGCAGACGAGACGTTGGGGAAGAAATCTGCATTCCGTGCGATGACTGCTGCCAAACTCGGTAATGGTGATTTGGCGAGCGCTACGCCTGCGAATAACAGCCCGGGTAATCGTACGCGCGCGCAGTCCACATATAATGGGTTCCCGATTCCATTGCAGAGCAACCAAGCTGTGTCTGCGCAGTCAAAGCACCGTTTCCGGTCGCAGTCCATTGACTTCCGATCGGATAGCACTTTTGGTGGCGACCAAGCCAATAAATTTGTGGATCCACTTGTTCTGCGACGGGGGAAAACGGAGAGAGGTAAGGAGAAGCCTCTAGTGGGGCCAGGAAAGAAGGTTCCTGTAGGACAGCTTGTGGCGTTCTTTGATTCGGAGCGTCGCTGAGTGTGTGCTGTACCTTCGCGACGATGTTTGACTTTCACGATCTCATCTCACAACCTTCTAAATCTACATGCTGACTTGATCTCAGACTTATTTCATAGCCATATACCATGCAGTCATGCCTGGCCTTCGTTCGTGTATCTTTGATTGTTGCTATCATTGTTTTTGAGCTAAGGGCTTCCTGCTATAACAGAAAGATACACATGTGTACTTGCTTCGTTGGTACGATGCCTCATCCTCGTGTTGTTACGCCTAATAGTAATAGCTGTCCGTTGCAATCGATCTGCAACTTTAGCAATTGGGGACTGGGTTATGGGTGTGGATAATGGCATGGGCATCACAATGCCACGGTGTCGTCACGCTGTAATTGGCGAAGCAATGAAGGTTCAACGGCACATGCACAAAGTAGTGATCCAAGAAATGTGGCGTATGATGACCGCTCGAGCTCTCGAGCTTCAACAGGATGTTCGGGTTGATCCCGACTGTTCATTAGGAACCAAGATGAGGTTCTCCTGTGTTTTTTTGTGAGGGGCGGTAAGACTCGGGGCGCCTCCCACATAGATAGATAGTGGGCATACAAACTGAGGTTACAAGAAACACAACACCACACCGACCAGTACAACTTTGTGGAGAAGGGAATAATTCAGGAAGCCTTAGGTTTAATGCCCATCCAGTGAATAAGCGGATGGGAGTGATCATTGATGGGACTTTAAGAGTCGGTATTGGCACATGGTATTATTGGCATCGCGAGGATGGCTGGTATATGATAAAGCTATCACAATTTCAAAAATTGGTTCGGCATTTGTCCGTGATTAAAATCCGCTTGGTTCCTCTGCGCATCCAGCAATATCGTATTGAGTGACCATATCCAACAGCAGAGCGCCCGCCCATGTTGATGTTTGTTCCCAGAACCTGGTATCATCGTCTCTATGTGTATCTGTCCCGAGACTTTCAACATAGTACTGTGATATTGGGATGATTTCGCAAGAGGCCAGCGGGGAACACTGCCTGGCGAGATTCAGAACCAGACATGAGAACTTCCTGTATGATGTGCACTCTGGGGGACAGTAGAATGACAGTGAATGACGGTGAATAATGCAAAGTAGTCGCATATATCGATGGCAGGGGGGTAACAGGTGACCTGACCAAGCTGCTGCGACACCGGAGACCGAGAAATGCGGTGATACATTTGGTGCCGCAGTGATCGAATAATTGCTAATGGTTGATGGAAAATTTAAACCGCGGTGGGTGACTGATCATGTTCTGGAATGTCACAAAGCCTGTCTTTCCCCATCAAGAAATGTCTTTGGAGAATCCCCGTTTAATACACGCACCATCCTGCTGCTCAAGGTACCCGCGTGCTTTTTCCTGCCTATGCCAAGTATATTTCTTCTGAGAAATGATACTCGGAGCGGAATGTCGGAGATAGGGCAACAGACAAATTTAACATGAGTGAATTTCCCCTGGACTTGTGTGCATTGGAGTAATCAATGGAGTGAGAATCGGGACGGAACATGGGCCTGAAGCACCCGATATTTCTCCAAGTTCCGCGTTCCGGTCAAGCCTGCAAGACGTTGTAGTCTGCCAAGCCAAGGGGATTATCATTCTTCATCCTTACCATCTGATGAACCCTGCAAGAGTGCACAAAAAATATCGAGCATGCGGCATATAGAGCACAGAAGGACACCAGGTGTGTGTTGCGATTGCCATAAACTATTCAATGGGTCAGTTCAGCCTTAGCTAATAGCAGATATGCATACCTCGTGTTCGAGTCAATTTGCACAGCTACATTGTATTAGGATTCAATGCCATCAACACGAGGCTCATTAATGTGATGTTGATTGGCCACCTACTGAATTACTAGTACCCTGGTCTTAGGTTGTGAGGCAGCTGGCAGCTTTGACAGTCGCAGTATGGGCGGTGTGGGGCGGGTTCGAATTTGAAATTACTGGGCTAAGCGATAAATCCAGGCGTGGGAAGTAATACCCGATTGCAACCCAATTGTCGATATATTCATCGAAACTCCTAAATCTGAACCAGCACTACGGCCGCAGATAGGTGGGTTTCAAACTACATTAGCGGAAATATTAGCGTAACTTGAACAACTACCGTGACGTAGTCATTCCCAGCCAATATTGCCATGTCGCAGAGAACGTACCAACCCTTGCACACAGACAATCCCTCACTGACTCGTAAATCAACACCTGGAGAAAAGGATGACAGGAAAGCCCAATCTCCGACTGCTGGCATAATTTGCTTTCTTCTAACTCCTTACCCACTCAGGTCTCAAAATGAATTCCAAGAAATCCCTTCTTGCGACACCGTAACGCAGGAAGAGTTTGTTGCATGTTTGGAACGGATTAAAGACGTGATCAAAGATAATCTGGCAAACGAAGAACTTCAAGTTATAAATGACCCCGCCGAGATTGTTCTCGACAGGCTTGCTGTCTCGCTTGACTGGATGCTGATCACCGTAAGTCCAAGTCTTTGGAACAAGTTTGAATACCCTGACCACATATACTTTTGTTTCACAAAATCAGGCTGTAATATTTATGATAATGAGCATGTCGTACTTGCGGTCACCCGCTTTCGCAGCGCTTGGGGATGCAAAAACACATGAACTTTATCAGAAACTGGTTGAAATCACGAACGATAAGGCAATGAACGATATTTTTCTCCGCCTATTGGCACAAACGCCTAAAACGCCTCTCTACACGTTCTCTCGTGGGCTCGTACGGACCAGCGTCCTATCAAGCTGTCTCTTCGCATTCCTCGCAATACTGGGTAAACTCTTCATTGGTCGCAACGGGCTCTACCTTGACATATCATCTCGTCGCAAGTCTCCGAGGCAATTTTTCTTTAGGCCGTCACCATTCGTATCGAGGTGGCTCATGCTGGCTCTCAAACCATTACCAAACATATTTATGTTGAACCAACTTCTTCTTGGCACAGCATTCGTCATTGCGCATTATCTCGCTGTATAGTGACCTTCCTCATTCTTCGAAGGCGTCGTCAATTCCCCTTTCACTGTATCAAACTGCAGCCGAGCAACCCTTCCCACCCCCTCGTTCAACCCTCGTTTTCATGTAACCTTTCGTTCAAGCATGCCTCTTCCTATTTCAAATATTCTGTAGGTCATTATTTTGTAGCAACTTATTAGGACACGAATTATTCACACACACGACTAATGTCTTGTGTGGGTTTGGCTAGTCTAATTCCATTCTACACCATGTACTGCGTATCAACTTCTCGGATTATTGATGATAGCACGAAATACTTTAGTGGGCATCCGTACGCATTGTCCTATTAGTAGACGTATGACAGGCAATAAAACATCAACAAGGGAATACAGAAATTCTGGTCATATAAATGTACGGGTAATGGCATGTAATACATAAAATACCATTTAAAATACAGCAGTGTAGAAGATGTTCGTGGGGATGATGCATAAATAACAAAAGAGTAGGGTATAGAGATGCCCGGTAATGGGCTGAGAGGATCTAGACGACAGTGGACACTAACCAAAGTATCACTAGTATAACCAGTTTACATTGCAACATGCTCGCTATGGCTGTGACGCAGCAGCTTGTTGGAGCTGCTGCTGTTGCACCTGCTGTACCGCCTGAGGGTCCCATGGTGGGGGATCCCGGGCATCCACGAGATTCTGATCAGCAAGTGCGTCCCGTAACCGATCTCTGCGGTTCATGCCCATGCGTGCGCGACACCGAATAAGACGAAGCTTTGTTCGCGTGATCCCTAAGGTGTTGTTAGCTTCAAGTTGGTATATATCACAAACAAACAAATGCCGCACAAGTTGCGATGGTAACACGGTCCTCTTCCATAAAAGGATTCTCAGTCTGAAGGTCATCTTGCAGTGTGTACAGACACCATAGCGACTCCTCGTATAACTTCTCGCACTCATCTGGTGCTTGGTCGAGGAGTTCCCTACGAGCTGCGGTACGACTCTATAAATGGGCTATGAATACCGTCAGTCCGGAATATAAAGGTAAGTGCGTACGAGAACCAGGGCACGATCATAGACCAACTGATCGAGGTATATCTTAGGGCCATCATATTGCACCGGGAGCCACGTCTTCACCAGTGTAGCTCGGTCATTGCATTTAATAAAGTGCTCCTTGAACCACAACAGAGCTTCACCCACCACGTAAGCACTGTCCTACGTTCTGAAGGCGGAGATAGAACATACCATCGTTAAACCCTTCACTCACTTCGAAGTCACCATCAGGGTGACGCATCCGTAGGTGTTCTTGGAAGTTCCTCAGCTTGTCGATCCCTTTCTGCGAGAAAGACATGAGGAGCAAGTAGACGGCAACGCTTGTCACAGCATTCTCTTCGGCTGCTCGATCTGCCTTTTGCCGCCGTTGCGCAAGTTTCTCAGGCTCGCCTTCGCGTCGTGAAAACTTCGCTGGATCAGGTAGTGGCTCTGCAAAAGGGTTAGTTTAGCATACAGGAGAGCAGGGGATACATACTCTGAGGTGCAGCCTTGACACACTCATACATCTCATCGGCCCACTGCGTGAGGAAATCTGTCTTCTGCGCAAGTTCTTCTAGATACGCAAGAAGCTCGTCTTCCATTGGGTTTATTTCTGTCTCTCTTTCAGAGGGAGTCCGAAGAATAAGTTGTGGACGTCGAGGTGATGAAGAGCTGTGGTAGTGGTTGGAGCCGGGAGAAGTAGGTGATTTGGGTGTCGATGTACCAAAGAGTTTGCGAGAGGCGAGAGAGAGGGCACGACTCAAAGCGTTTGTGGCGGCGCGCGTGGGTGATGATGACAGTGGAGGGGCAAGAGGATGGGGAGGCGGTGGGAATGTCGGTATTGGAGCGGATAGCGGTGAACCCGATGGTGATGATGCTGTGTGATCTGGCGGGCGTATTTCGCCGGCAGGAGGTGATAAGGGAACACGCTGATCCCGCACCGGTCGTCGTGCACTGTTTAATCCTGAGTGGATAGGTCAGCTTACAAAGCGATGACGGGGAACATGACTCACCATCAACAATACGAGTGGATTCGACTGTACGTGGGTCGATGAGGACGTACTCCTTCCGGATGAGACCATCTTCCTCTGACTCTCCGGGAATGATGGATCCTTCAATCACAAGTAGTTTCGGACCTGCCTTTTCCTCTTCAGGATGAGGTGGACTCGAAGCAGTGTGTGTTCGATTGATGTTGGTAGTCTTCGTCTGCGTTCTCTCAGGTGATGGACTGAGTGTTTCATTTTCAGATCATCATGTCAAATATAATGTCAAGAGCCCATACCTTATCGGAAGAGGGATAGCAGATACCTCTTCCACTGCAGTGTCTCTTCTCCTGAAATGGAACTTACTGGGTGGAATCATAGCCTTCGGATCAAGCACCTCTGGTGGAATGATTTTATGATGTTCAGGAATCTGTCCAGGGGGGATTTCTTCGACTTCCTCATCTTCTACTTGCATCGTATTTTGCGACTGCATTTCGGGCGCAGGACGAGGAAACTTGGACTTTGCGAGCGCTCTGCTCTTAAAGAATTCCTCAAAGCTGGAGCGCTCGACAGGCTGCCGCTTGAGCAAGGTACGGATCAAGTCCTTGATGTCAACAGCAACAAGTGTAGGCTCTTCTGTCTTCATTGTAGGCGGAGTGGAAGGATGTGAAGATATACGGGCAGGATCCTCGTCTGGGAATTTGACACCTTTGGAATGTTCGATTTTCTTCAGGAGTTCAACGTGATTTTGGGCCCGGAAGGGTGGTTTTCCAACACACATCTCGTACAACACCGCACCAACACTCCACAAGTCAGCTTTTGCATCGTATTTCTCGTACCGCAAGATCTCGGGAGCCATATAAAGACTGCAAATTATGGTGGTCAAGTGGAGCCATTACAGCAGTAGGAGAACGTACGGAGAACCACATAAGGTCTCTGCCATCATAGCGTTTGGGAGGGACCGTGCAAACCCAAAATCGGCGACCTTGAGTATTGGAACGCCTAAAGGGTGGCCCTTTGCAAGTTCCTCTGGTGATGCGGGATTCAAGAGCAAATTCTGTATACAATAAGAAGTCAGACGCCTCGTTTCTATTCCAATGAACACACCTGAGGCTTGATATCCCTGTGGATAAGATTTCGCTGTCGAAGAAATTTCAAAGCGCGTGCTTCACAAAGATTAGATCAATGTAAAGTAAAAGAACTACCATCTCTCACCGAGCTGACGCAGGAAACTTCGTACGACAATCTCATCTAGACCGCCCGTTCTCGGGTGAGGGTAATATTGAAGAGCAGCTCCTGGTGAGGGTGCGTACTCCAGACCCTCTACACGACCGCGTTTCTTTATGTAATTGGTTAGGTCACCGCCGGCGCAGTACTCCATGATAAGGTATATGTTGCGTTCTGCGCGCTAAAGACAAGGTGATTAGAGAACCGGTATAAGATAACAAGTGGGTGATTCATGATATGGGCTTGGATGAAAGAGAGAAGACATAAGAACGACCAAAGAGGATTACAGGTAGCTCTGCTGCTTTCGGGACGCAGCATAGTACAGGATTGTTATGTGCAAAGACAGAGAAGGGGCACTCACAACAATGTCAATCAACTTTGTGATATGTCGATGAGATAATGACTTCAAAATCTCAATTTCGCTTTGCAGGTTATCAAACAATTTTGCAGTAAGTATATCTCGTCGCACGGATTTGATGGCGACCTGGTGGTGAGTTTCCTGCAAGTACCACATCGTTTCTAAAAGCTAGATCAACAAAGGAGCTGGTACGCACCTCATGGTATCCTTTATAGACAGTTGCAAAGCTTCCCTTTCCGATATCGCTGACTATTATGTATGGACGTGATTCGTCGTCCTCGACTGTCCTTCTCGGCGTGGATTTATCTGAGGCCATGATAAGAGGTTAGTGGCTAATGGAAGTAAGGTATAGCGGTAGCCCGCGAGAGCAGAGGCGCTGAGCGCCGTCAGTGTGTTGTGAAAGAATCTAGTAGCAATCTGAGAGCAAAGGTAAGCTGTAAGGGAGAGCACTTAGGGAGTGCCGCTCGACCTGCTAACTTCGTCCAAATCAGGAAACCTGAGAAGAAGCGCCATTCTGACTAAGCTTGCCCTGCTGGCAAAGTCACATCACGGAGCCTACTTGTGACCAGAAATCGGCCGCCTCAGTTTGTTTTCTTCTTGTCTTCCCCGTTGGCGTTGTGTAGCCATTTTTCCTTACTCGATCTATGACCTGGCGTTGGACGTATCTACGACTATTGCTGAGGTGTCTAATAATAGTCTGGGAGGGAAGGCTCTACTAACTTCTGATCAGCTGGTATGTTCGGTATGCACTTTTTAGAGGTGACCAACCTGACTGACATAGGTTAAGTATGTGTATCCAAGTCCTCAGTTCAATTATTTGCTATCTGGCACTCTAGCAAGGCCGAACTGTTACTCGTTACACAAGCTTGCACGGCCGCAATCTCAGCATAGGGCGACCAAGCCGCAGCAAATACCCACTTAGTCCATCTAACTGAGACACTTATCAGCCCATGCCTTGTTTTAAGGGCGCCATCGTGCAATCACGCCGACAATGGTGTCATTCACATGCAGTTGTGCTGGCGAGAATTCAAGTATGACTTCTTTGGTATCAGAGTGAGTCCTTTGGAGTCACTAGTAGACTTCATGTTGGACATGTTATTCGTATAACTTGTCGGATTTTCTATGCAAGACAGCCTTTTGTGACACATGCTATCGAACATTCAGGAGAAGGACATCCGTCTTCTTGTTACTCATCTACTCAGGGAAGACCAGCATTCACGCATCGATGACGATAAGCCGGATCGACTCAACCTGTACTGGAAATTACATTGCAACAAGTCACAAAACACTATTCAAAGTATTTCAACAGTTGCTCAACGGTAACCTTTAGCGCCCGAGTCTAACCAACTTCTTTTTAAGCTGAGCTCATGGGTGTGCCCCCATGAACTCGAGACAATATTGACCTTCGGTTGGTCTTGCTTTTCCTTCATTCAGATACTTGAAGTCAGTCTCCCTCCCTAATACTGACATACGGTAACTAGCATTCGGCTAAACGGATACTTGCAAGAGTTCCTGGTGAAATTTTGGAGTCTCCCCTCTGAAGAGAACTCTGACTGCCAGACGGGACTTACGCGCCGCCTCCATTAAATTAATAATAAGCTATCATACAATTAAAATTAGGGCGTGAAACTCTTTTTCAACACGAACAAGATGATCGAACACCACAAAGCGAGTACCGTAATGACACAAGTTGCTAGGAGCGGTTGCCGCCCAAGGAGCCAACATAGTGTATAGAGGGCTTGAGAAAGACCAAACAAAACGGGCAACGCATTTGACCATAACAAGACGCGGGCCCGTACATGTGGAGGCCAGTCGTGCATTGGTCGCCGTCTCATTTTCACATTGATGTCCTCGCTCGCACTCGTGGCGAAATGGCCTAGAACCCACTTCCCAAATATAGTGATAGCCACAATGAAAGGGGGGACGAAGAGACACGCGTCCATCACTCCTTGTAGAACCAAAAACGTGAACGAAGGCGCTGCGAAGACCGACAGGATTGTTTCACTTGTGAACGTGCCGTTGCTGATGGTGCGGAAGACGTCATTGACCCCAGCCACCACGGTTGTGTGTCTGTGGTATAGGCAGAAGCCGGGCTGCATGGTTGCAAATTTATTGATGAATGCAGTAGCACCCGCCTGCCAGTGAATACCGAGTTTAGTTCCGGCATCCTGGAAGGAAAGTTCGAAAGACTAACGCAGAGTAAGAGCGTGTTCATTAACCCATCGAGACTTTTCATTCTACGCTCCTCATCAGCGCAGAATTTAGCCTCCCGTAGTTGTTCCTTCAGCATGTCAGCACTGTCATGCAACTCAGAGGCGTATTCCTGGGAATCGTGGGTTCTAGGAGGCATTTAACATAGATCAACATGCCTCGTCACTAGACTGAAACTCACCCGTCTAACGCTCCAAGCTGACTATCAAACTGAGTCGGATAGGCGTTCATTGGTTTACAGACAGTCGCTGCCCATGGGAGGGGGCTTGTCAGATGTGAAACCTCTGACGAAGAGTTTGTGACATTACGTAACTGTCACAAGAAGATTTGCCTGTTAATGATTCAAAAAGGCAATGATATTTCCCAAACACAGCGAAGCCTTCAAGCGAAAGGCCAACATCAACATAAAGTGATCATTGAATATTGATCATTGGGCACTTGCAATTCGTATCAGGTCAGTAAACATTAGCTGCATCAGTATGTACTAAGTGCACTGATTTCGGGCCTATTCCTAGACTCCTAGTGAAAAGGATTATCATAACCTCGAACTGATAACAGAAAGTGTTCTTCCTCAACCTGTTGCTGCACGCAAGGAAATCATGTTCTCTAAATAAATTCTGTCAGTTGTACTAGCAACAAAATGTGATGGCAAAATTTCGAGCGAATTTGCCCTATGATAATTGCCCTACTTGCTAATGTTCACATTTTCTTACCATTATATAGGTCCGTGCAGGTCATTCTCGAAACTCAGAAGTAGTAAGTGATTCAGGTGCAATAAATGATATTGCAAGCCTATTGAAAGAAGCACAGGCTTGTAGAATGGAAGAAGTTTGATTTTACGATAAAGCGTAGCACCTGGTAGGACCGAGGGACGCTGGGCGCTGAGGTAGGAAACGCAAATGACCACGGCAAAACATGAGCCTGTACAGGTTCAAGGTATCGGATATCTTCAAGGTCCTCGTGGAGAAGTGACCTATCTAGAACCCAAGTTCCTAAGATGGTAGCGGCCACAATGAAAGGGAGGACGGAGAGACACGCAGTTATCCATTTCAAAGTCAAGAATGTGAATGAATGTAGATGAATGTGCCGTGAGGACCAAATGAAATATTTCGTTCGAGAACGGGCCATCACTAGCACTGATGACGTGGAAAAGATGTCGTCGATCCCAGCTACAAGGGTTGTGTGTCTTGGGTCACATAAAACTCATAACCATTGTAGCTGGGATCGTGGGTATAAGCAGCGAGGTAGCAGGTTTATCTTATTGATATGCGGTAGCATCGGCCTTGCACAAAGTCAGTTGCATTCTGGAAGGAAGATTTACCCAGTAAGACTTGGTTTAACAGCGTATTGTCTGTAAAAACTGTGTGAAAAGAGCTTTCACTCGAAACTCTTCTGCCACCAGTAGCCGTTGCTTCAGCGTTTTGGCAGTAACGCCATGCAATTCGAGAATATCATGTTCCAGGGAACGAGGCCTAGTAGGTATTAAATGATAGACACAGCATAACGTACCGTCCGACCAAGAACCGGTGCTGACAGTCGAATTGGGTTGGATAGTTGTCTGATGTTAATGCCATTGCTGAAGGTAAGGTGAAGGTGACGAGCTCTTATTTTTTCATTACGTAATTTGTGAACAATTCCAAAGCCTCTGAAATGCGGGAACAAACATGCTACTACTCTGATCTGATTAAGGTTACGATTTCTTGCCATGACCAACCAGGTGAGCTTGTAGTTAATATCGCCCAGCCACCTGTGGAACTGTTAATGTTGACCCAACCACGATGTATGACAGGTGCTCCTTGATCCGTCGAATTCAATCTATTCCAGTGATGAAGATTGTCGTCCCGATGAGTCACTGTTCGCCATTTACCACTCTACACAAGCCACGGCCGCACCACGGAATTTTATAGGCGCCCTGCCCATCGAGCTTTTGCTGGCAATATTCATGCATCTTTATCAGTCGTCTCGTCGTCTCACTCAAACTGGTGAGACATGGAGACTAGACGATCCTCTGTCATCATTGTTCCCCTACGCTCCGGCTGCAGTGTGTTCGATGTGGTGTTCGGTGTTATCGCGTGTTCCAGAATTTTGGACTCGTGTGATCATCAGAGTTGACTCTCAATATACACAAAGCCAAGATGTTCGACGTTATTTCGAGTGGTCGAGAAATCTTCATCTAGATGTTATCATCACCAGAAATCGCGACGAATTTGAAGGAGTTGATATGAGAGAGAAGTCAAAAGTGTTCAAGGCGACTCGTGAACTCGTTAGGCATATTGAGCGATGTAGAAGCATCCGCTTCAACGTGATGTACAGCTCATCATTGCCGTCCATACTTCACGACTTTCATCGGGAAACGGCTCCTCACCTGCACACATTGAAACTCAAATGTAAAGTTGACGATGGTGGATCCCCGCCTCGGAAGCTTGTGCACTGGAGTTTTGATGCACCCGGCCTTCGCCACCTCTATCTAGATGCCCGAAATTTTGTCGACGTCTGTGTAGACCGTAACAACTGGCTCAGGCGCCTACACAACTTAAACTCACTTTCAGTTTCCCGCTATCGCCAGTTTTCAGCCAAGGGCATTGATTTATACAAGCTGTTGAAGGCAGTAGAGGAATCCCCTTCCCTCGCATACTTGGAGCTCAAGGACTTACACTTCTCTCGCCTGCGTCCTTGGACCACAGTGAATGATATTAGTATAGACATAATGTCTATGAATTTGGAGGACCTATCAGGCGAGGTGCTCTCAGAAATTATCGGTTATGTTGACAGTGCCCCAGATGCAACTCGCATTTCTCGTTGCTCTATTACTACTTGCCACCACTCCCTAATCTCTGGTGGCGTCGCCTTCCATGATCTCTCGGCCAACCAGGATTTGATGGCTCCTCTGGCACATTGGCGCGGGCACACGCTCTCGCTCGTCAATTGTGCATGCTTCCATGATGATTTCCTGCGAGACATGATGGACGGAGGACCACACGACCAATCCTTCGCATGCAAGGGGGTGAAAGAGTTATACCTTGTCAATTGCACGAAATTTTCTCCAAGATTGCTCAGGACTATGGTGCGAATGCGGAGGAAGTTAGCACGCAGATCCACTTTCTGGATAGAAGATCAAGAAACTCTTGATTGGACATTTCCAATTGTGGCGCCCATCACATTGATATCAGTTGAAGGTGGACCAGCGTTATTCAAAAAGGATAGGGAGTGGTTCGAGGCGAACCTCGGGTCGTTTCACTGGAATGAGCAAGTGCCGCACAGTTCATTCGAGGATTCTGGCGATAGTGACTATGATATTCACGGCGGATAGTACTGTAGCCTGAATGACCGTATTGAATTAATCCATTAAGTATATAGTGCTTGAGTACATGTGATAAACTATGCTCGCAACGACACGATTTTGTGTAAACTAGCAGGAGAAATGGGAGCTAACAGCATATGGACAGATTCTGGTCGTTAGTGCGAGCTCGTTGACAGCTCGCGTCCGAGTAGGCAGCAAGCTCGACATTGGCTGTATCTGGGAAGGAGAAATACAGCCTGCCCTACAAGCCCCAACTCAAAACGAACGCATGCAGAAACAACCGAAACTCCTGCCCCTCAACCAGAAACCACCCAAAGCGAAAACCCACCTAATAACACCATTTTTAAATCTAACAATAGGCTCGATCTCCACGGCCCTCTCATTTTTCGCTTGGCGTATATTCAAGGAGCGCGACCGAGCTGATTGCGAGAAGCCATATTGAGGTGGGTTCCTTGACAGTGGCTGTTGGTACGGATGTTTTGAGATGGAGGATGAAAGGGTGATGTACACTGAGGAGTAGATGATGAACGAGAGATATGAACAAGATGATAAGCGGGAACTACTGAATATGAGTTATCAATTGGTTACTGTTTTCACGCTTGCTTGTTTCTCACCGTATATTTATTTCCAATCTCCCTTAAGCGAAGAACGAGGTCAGCTTCGAGTTCCCTGCAATACAGAAGTAGGGTTTAGTCCCAGTCTACTGTTGAATATGACTTGCGGAGGCACATACGAGTCAGCCAAGAACTACGTCCGCCCTTGGATGTCGTGCCGGCAGTATTCGAGTAGTATTTGACATCCATCCTGGCTCGTCATCGGCCTTGATGCTCTGATAGCTAGGGCCCCATGTCAAACAGTAAAAGTAGTCAACGAATCATAGATCGCACACCGTTTGCCATTGTCGACGACGCAGGTGATTTAGAGGTGATAACCAAGTTATGGACGAGGTGAGTGGAATTCTTCATGCAGGTACATTCGACGGTAAACTCAGTGCCCTAGGTATCCAGGATGCCTTTATGGAAGCACACGATCTAAAGCAGTCAAGCAGGTGGCAAAGAGTAAAATATAAATGTTCATTTGTGCACTTAACTTCTGCTCACGTTCAATCAAATCCAGATCTTCTTAATGTACCGGACCGTGTAATCGCAACGTCACCATGCGGTCGCTCCTTCGACACATCTCTCTCCACGCCGGAATGGCATCCATTTCGCGCCATGAGCTATGGTGGCCCACTCAGACACAAAGTTAAGTTTGTGTTCTGTGATTCCTCGGTACGTCTTTTGATCTATTCGGGAGTATGGCGTATGTTTCTGCCCTTCTATGATATCTGTAGACTGACTGACCTTCCCGCCTCATAGATAAGGATGAGGCTGCCATTGCTACCACTTTTCACCGACGAGAAGCTGGTCAGTAGAGTCGAGAGCGCAGTAAACGATGTTTTGTTTTGTCTTTCATGAATCATATGACATCTGTATAAAATATTAATATCATCAGCTTTGATCTGGCCTGGGACTGACTTTTGAGTCATAAACTCTGGATCGTTCCCTTTCATTGTCGCATCACTCTTTCACCTCGATCAAGGTGGAGCAGCCCTGCCTTGCCTGCGGTAAAACCTTGCCCACACAGAGATCGCTCTCTGGGAATCGTTCCCGTTTTACACCATGTCACCAATTGGCGCAAGTCTGAAGATGGGGATCGAATCAAAACGGACTCGGATTGAGCAGGAGGGAGTAATGCAGGAAGCGAGGGATGATAAAGCGTGGGCAACAGATCATGGCGAGATAGATGCAGATAATGATGCAATCACCATAAATCAGGTATATTTTGTTTGAATCTTGGAACCGAAACTCACCATACATTTACCACATCGTCATGAGACACAGTCGCTCACGATCACGTTGAATTCTGAGAAAAACAGAAATTGGTAGCGCTAAAAACGCACCTGATTACACCCGCATTCAATCAATATCCAAGCATCATTCGCTGTCCAACTGAAAGCGGCTGGCATTTTTTCATCAATACTCCCACCATCTTATCAATTGCCGCTGCCGAGTAGGACGACATGTACAGCCCTGCTGTTCTCGATCTCTGCACGGACACTCAAAATACCCAAGAGCTTGGCGCGGTTGGGAAACGGCTGTGCACGGGCCCCATGACTGAGTGGGCTTGGAGTTCGGCTTATGCTAAAGGCTGACCGAACCTGGGAGATGTCCCCCCCCCCACTAGTAGTCCTCCTCAACCTGTCAACCATTTACTCCCACTAGGTTGTATAAAGGATCTTCTAAACCGAACGAGAAGAACGGCGGTAGGGTTGCCACTCACCCTTCTAGCGTTCTTCTATCCCTAGTCAACAGACCCGTATCTAGGAGACGGGTATCTGCGGCAGGTGCCAAGGCCCAAGGACGTCGTCTGCCTCTCAACGCTCAACTGGACGTTCTGGCATCGGCTTCACTTTATAGCTAGCCACCAAGGTGTTAGGGCTCTTATGTCGGGTCCTTTTGACCTTCATGGTACCTTCGATCGGTGAGCCTTCCTTTCCATTTGCTTTCTTTCCGCAGTTTTAGTTCGATATTTGTGACAATTATTATGAGCATCTCTCCATTGTGTTACTATGATGGATTGTTCTCCGGCGGTCATAGGCCTTCATAGTCTAGCTCGCCGGCATTCCACACAATTCCACATTCTTATCTTGTCAGTGATATTGACAGAGTGACTAATGAATGTTGGCAGGCGGTCATTCGACCAACGGACCCGTTTAGGTTGAGGGCATTGGCGACAGGGTCATAGATTACAATTATGCCATATGTATGTTTTACCTCACACTTGTGCGACACCTTACAATTGTAGCCAGACACGTGACAGAAGGAAGATCCATCAATATTTCAATATTCATTGAAATGGCATTCAATGCAACAAGATTGACATTTTATGTAAAGTTGAATAAGAGTGTGCTAGAAACTATCGGTTATGGTCTATTCGTGATTCAGATGGTTGTTTCGTGAGTCACTTTTCGCAGGGATTATCGGGACATACGTTACCATTTGTAACAAATAATCACGTTTTCACGCCAAAAAAAAGTGACTCGCGGAATAGAGATCCATCTTGAATAGACCATAACCGATAAAAAAAAAAGTGAAGTACCCGCGATAGGTGTATCTCGATCGCATTCGGAGATTGCATCTCGAAATGTGTAGTTATCATTGCCCACTGTGCGGGATGTCGATAATCATAATCACTTGCTTATTGACCAGCCGCGTCCTATTTTATACTTCCCTCGAGCGCGGCAACAGCTCAAATCGTTGACACAGGCATGAGCTATCTTGTAGACATTCCTCACCGAATATCCTTTACTGGTTTAGCAATTTTGTATGATAAGACACATATCCAACGGGTTTTAGTCAGCCATGAGACGATGCTGTCTGAGGGCGCAAAACTGTCCAGGGGGGATGTAAGGACCAACACGTGTCAACCCCATAACGGCAATTGCTATGTGACATTGTAAGTGGTTTTAGAAGATGACACTTTTGTTAAGATCCTCGTGCAGAAGTTCCCGCATTCCGGGGGGTAAAACGGGTTCTTTGCCGTTGACAATATACCCTGTTGAAATTCCACGATGGCCGCGGGCGAAAGATGCGATTAGTCCTGACCTAACGTGATAAGAGTTTCACTGACGGAAAGGCATTTCAACGCTTTCTTTAGCATTGAATGTGATGGTCGGAAAGTCCTAGAATAGGCTATGAACATCCATTATGCTCATAAATATCCTGCAACCCACCACGTAAGGTATGGCGTTTAGTTGTACTATAAATGGCTTGAAACGGTTACGCTGCGGAAAAGTGCAAGAATCACCTTTGTCATCGATAACCCGCTTCGTTACAGCGAGCGCGGTATCTGTTGTCATCTGCATTGAACCCAGCTGACGCGAAGGAAATCCAAGTTGGCGGAGCTCAGATGTTCGATCACGAGGGGGATCATCACCTGGCGTGTGATGTCCAGGATAATCTGATGATAAGGAGCCTTGATGTGCTTACCTAGTATACCCTTGTGGACAGAAGTCAAGTTGATCAGCGAGCCCGAGGTTTCAGTGGATAAAGATCTCACCCCAAACAAGAAATGATCAAAAATCTTGCCGTCTTCCGGAGCGAGCACTGTTTGAGCTTTCGGGTCAAGAAGACATACCCTTGTAATTGAAATGTTATTCTGCTCCAGCAGCTCCATTACTGATTGAGTATGGACGTGGTATGATGCAGATGGTTCATTTATGGAGGCAAGCCGGGCATCGAGCGATGAACTGGAGTTGTGTGATAGATGCGTGAACTCAACTCGACCGTTAATGCCAGCCAACATGATCATATGCTAAAACAACCTTCAGTCCTTGAGCGAATTGTGCTGATGAGTCAACTACGTGCCGCATATTCCAGCTCAACCCAGGGTGGGAGAGATTTTGGCGTGGTTTCATCCTCCTCCATGTGTTCTGCGTAAAAATATGAAGTTACTTTTCCTACACCAGGTTGCAAGTGTCCCACCGATCACGTATGTGAATGTCATGATGGACGGTGCGATTTGGGTTCCCGTAGATGTACCCGTCAGTTCCGATTCAACCTTTTCGAATCAAGGTCAGCTGCAGGATCGAATGAATGCAATTACCTGCCATATGGTTTACTATGAAAAGTCCGAATGTCACGTGCAACTTAACCGCTGGATTTGGCGTCATCGATCTCCAATTTTCCAGATCAGGATATTTTGGTTTGCTTCTTTTCCGTGTGCCTCGCAGCTCCTGTTAACCTGGTATACCGTAAATCAAACATTCAACTTTGATTCAAGTTCAGACTTTCATTCCAACGGACTAGTCGATATCACTTTCGGGATAGTTTGGTAACATTGTGTTACCGTTGATACTTTTCATGCGATTTCAACGGCTTAAATGTAGCCTTCACACTGACAGCGACTAATGACACGATTCAATCGGACATACTCAAGAAAGAGTAGATTGATCTTCCCTGACATGATGTGGCGCGCGTTTTTCGTGTTACAATGCGAGCCGGTTTGTCTCAACTCCGGCACTCAAATTCTCACTCCCAGGCGGACATATATAATGAACCACTAGCACCTCCGAATAATCATCGTCTCCAGATACAATGTCTACACCTAAATTCAGGATCGCTATCTGGTGAGGTGTCTCCAGCTTGTGGCCATAGTCGTGCTCATTGCAATACTGCCCTAGTGGAGGAGGGGTAGGTGGTTTGACACTAGCCGTTGCCTTGTCCCGGTACCCGGATATTGTCGTCGACGTGTACGAAGCCGCTCAGAGCTTTTACGAAGTCGGGGCTGGGTTGGGTATCTGGCCCAGGTCATTCAAGGTACAGATTTCGGACAATAAAAGATACTGGTGTCAAACAATCAACTAGGTTTTACGAAAACTTGGGCATGACTTAGAACGACAACTAATTCAGCGCTGCGGTTACGAATTCACAGAAGGATATGGTCAGTGACAATTTGTATATGACAGATGTTCAAACTCACTGAGCGAAATTTAGTCCCATGTATCAAGCACCGTAAAAGTGATCAAACCGTTGGCTTTCAGCTTTTTGACCTGGTGACAAAAGGTCAACTTTCCTGTACATTCAAATGCATCTCATTGACCACAATCGGTAGCACAGGCAATCAAATGCGTTTTCATCGAGCTGACTTTCATGGCGTACTTCTCTCACATCTCTCGCCGTCTTGTACAACGTACAACGCCAAGCGACTAAAATCATATATCCAGCCCCGTTCAAGAAAATCACCAATCAAGTTAATATTTCAGGATGGATCGACCGCGACATGCGATATATTAATTGGCGCTGACGGGATCAAATCCGCAGTCAGATCCTGCATGATGCGTGAATTGGCTGAGGTCGTGGGCCCCTATGAAAAGCAGTCTGTGCTCTCGTGCATTAACCCAGTCTGGAGTGGCGTCACTGCATACCGAACATTGATTCCTGCAGAGAAGTTGCGCGCGCGTTGTCCTAACCACCGCGTCTTTGCGGGAGGGATTACTCAGGTAAATCATCTGTTAGTTACATTGCATAGCATTGACTTAGCGGTGCCTTCATTTCTAGTACTTGGGAAAAGATGCTGTGAGACATTTTTATTTTTATCTATCGTATACATTGTGTTGAGGCTGACGCATTTCAGTTCTTCCTTGCATACCCAATTTCTCTTGGGAAATACATCAATATCGCAGGTTTTACGCTTCAACCCGATCTCGTTAACACGGCCTATGAAGCCGATCCACGAGTGCCTCGTCGGTCTTTCCAAGGGAAGGCTGACAGCGACTGGGTCGGAGAACTCACGGCTGAACAGTTTGTTGAGCCTTTCAAAGACTTCGAAGAAGACGCGAAGCAGCTTCTCAAGGTCTGTCGTTCCTATCTGTTTCACTGGTCACTCTCACTGACAATTTCCGCAGTGTGTAGAAAGAGGCACGCTTTGGGCTGTACACACCGTAAAAACATTACCATCCACAAACTTCGGGCGAGTTGCACTCTTGGGAGATGCTGCTCATGCCATGCTGCCGTTCCAGGGCGCTGGTGCTGGTCAGAGCATCGAGGTTAGTGGCGCACATTCGTGCTTCCATTTCACACCGTGCTGATTTGATTTGATAGGATGCTTACCTCCTCGCAACTGTTCTTGGACACAAAGCCACGACCTTAGATACGGTACCTAGGGCCCTTGCCATATACGACAAGTTGAGACGGCCATTCTCATCAGATGTGGCTCTACGCTCAAGGTTCAATGGCCAACTATGCGCGTTGCAAACGAACGTCCCTCTGCACAGGCTCGGCAATACAGTCACCAAAAATTGGGATTGGGCATGGCTGACGGAGCTAGATGATGCTTTGGAAGAAGCTGTCAAGCTTGTGGAGAACAGTTCAATCAACATCGGCTGATAACAAAGCTATACATATCCGCATTATCTATGTCATCAATTCAAGTCGTGTATTTCTATATAACTGTGTCGGATAATAATATGTATCAGGCAATTAAATGTGTATAGTACGGATCAACGACAAACAGTTTGAAATAACAATAAAATCCGTAGATTGGTATATATGCATGAAGGACCGTCGAGGCTAATTTATCTCCTCTTGCTCAAAATACGAGTGACACTGGCTTTGACAACGCCCGCCGCCTTCTCCACCTCTTTCCTCGACAGCGCCGCAGTGGCAGCAATACGTATAGTGGGCCTGGACTCGACCATCTCTTGTCCACGCAAGTGCTTCGCCCGCGTTAGCAGCACGCCGTTTGCTATCGAATCATCGACAATGTCCTGCAGGATGCGTTCTTCAGCCTCATAGTCATAGGTGAGCTGGGTGACAGCAAGCGATTGTTGTTGGGTTCGCAGACAGAAATGTATGATAGGGCTGGCACGATGACCGAGTAGCGTAATACCTTCGGTTTTCTCCAACACTGCGCGAATGGCGCGGATATTGTCTTGCAAATTGAGAAGTACCGAGGGGTTGTTCCGGAGGAAAATTATTGCCTCCGACCCAGAGGTTGCCAGGAGAGCAGGCATGGAAGCCGAGAATACGAAAGACGTGCCGTTGATCCGCTGCTTAATGCATGACTACAGGATCATGAATGCGAGCAATTTGTACTTACTTGGTGATCCACTACAATGGAAGAACCAGCACAAAAGCCACCTGCAGAACAAAGACCGTTAGCAACAGAGCCTACGAGCATGTCAATCTGCTCCGCCTGGAAATTTTCACGTGAGCTATATCCTCACTGGAATGAGGAGCCAACCCACTGGAACATTGTACAGTTCTGTCAGACCACGGCCAGTTCGGCCCATGGTTCCGAAAGAGATGCTTTCATCTAGGATGAGGCGGTACTTGTACTTCAGCTTGAGTTCAACCTGCAGAACAAACTTGAGTGAACACGACACTAAATAGATTGGAATGAAGGAACCAACCAGTTTAGGAAGATCCACCATTTCGCCGTCGCGCTCAAAGATACCTTCGGTTATGATAAATCTACGCGTGAGAGGACCTTTGCGTTTTTTTCTCTCCTTCTCCACGCTGATGAGGGTATCCTCGAGACTCTTGAGGTCGTTATGGTCGAACCAACGAACGGTTGAACGGGATATTAGGATGCCTTTTTGAATGGCAAAGTTCACGGAACGGTCGGCGACGATGATATCCCCACGCTTGCAAAAGGCGGGAATGACAGACGAAATAGTTGAAAAGCCTTGAGAGTAGAGGATAGAAGCCTCCGTGCCCAGGAACTCAGCAATATCATGTTCAAGGTCGAGATGGACATCTAATACATATTGCACGTCAGCCTACCGCGGAACGTTGCTACCAGCCGCATTCACCGATGGTTCCGTAAAATCCAGGGGGTCCACAACTCCCAAGACCATATTTCTGGAGCGTTTCGAGGGCCCTCTCCTTGACCTTCTCGTTACCCGCTAGTCCAGCAAAGTTGAAGCTAGCGAGGTTGGTTACAATTTTACCAGTTGCGAGGAGTTTTGGTTTGGGACCATTAGGGCCAGAAATGACAGGAACTGAGCTGAGATCTCTCTGCTCCCACTCGGTAAGAGGTTGTGCAAGAGGTTCGGGCACCCATTCGTCCACTAATTCGTCTATTTCCTAGAAGGACATCAGTCAGGGACGAAGAAACGCAGTTTGATAAAACCCGACAACCTTTTCAGAAAACTTGATAAAATGCTTTCCTGACCTATCAGTGCGAGTCCTGGACTGTAGTAGAGTCCTTATAGCGAAAATGACGAGAATAAGCTCGAGAATTGTTCGTCCGGGATCGTTCTGGTGAGAAGATTTGACATATCGTGCAACGACTGCTGAGCCTGGAATTCTGTAGAAACCAGACTCTAGTTTTGACAAGGAGAATGCCAGGAATGATAGCACAGGCTCAAGTGCTACGGAGGTCGAGCTATCCATCGTAAAGAAAGTTTGGGACGTTGCTGGAAACCGTCACTTAGTGCTCAACCGCAAATAACTTATATAAGCACGGTCCGCAGACTTGTAAACGTAATCAGCCAATCATCATTATTGCCAGCAAGTCGCTGGCATGGTACACCCAGGGGTTAGGGAATCGTTGTACCCCAACCACCCTTGCACATGAGCTAATTACAATCTGAGGACAAGTAAAATGTGTTGATGATCAGAATCGGATTGAATTTTGCAAGTGTCGTATCTAGACAACTCTCGGGGTCGAGGTCGTCCAATCGCTTGTATCCTGACACCACGAACTACAGCTATCGTGACATGAAGGACACCAGAATATCCAGTAATTTCGATAAGATGCCACCTTGCACCTCTTTTGACACCACGGACAGTCGTAGTTCAGAAGCTCAGTATCATAGACCGCTGACGCCGGCCATCGTGGTATGCAGTCATTGGCAATTGTCCACCTCGTGCAGCAAGTAATTTACACCATCGAGTGACGCACATGAGTTAAGACAACATTGGAGCGATTGCTGCCATAGGGGTCATGATGAGGTGGCCTATTCTCACCAGGGTTGGCCCAATTACGAGGCACATTTGCCAATACTGATTATCCATGCATCATTGACATAGGGATCGTAATACGCTGAACTGAGTAATCGTGCTTGGTCTCGCATAAGCCACGTCGCGGTGCTTGGACTTCCCGACATACAGGATAGGCGTGAACCACGTTGGTGGTTGCACTACCATAGTCAGTTTCAAATCTCGGTGCTCCATATCATACTCGACTCACCCTAAGTTGTATTTTTTCCGAATATCAATGGACAAACGAATAGGGCGTCCACCTGGTCTATGGGATGGCGCATTGTAAGTTGACTGAATAAGCACGCTGTGATAACTATTTGACAATACCTTGAGCTCCCTCTCGCTTGATTATACACTTCGCAGTCATTCGACTGGAATTAGAATAGAGGATAACGTGAATCTATTTGTGTCACGATACACTTCTCGCCGTCGTCATTCTCCAGTACGCCGTCATCGTTATTTTTGCGTACAAAAGACACCACATCATGCAGAATTTTCACGGGCATCCGTACTAATGATGTGGAGTTTGCGATCATGGTCGGACTAGACGTAAGTAGTAGGCAGCGAGGGGGTCATTGAGTATGCCACGTGACCTACGTACAAATCGGCAAATTGAACCGCACTAATCGTCCACCAAAGAATCGCAAAGACATAGCGAGCTACATGCCTAAATGTCTTGACCTCTCTAGACTACCCAGGGCTCCAGGTCTTCGTTCAATTAACGTGCGTCCTCTCTCTTTCATGTCACATTCTCTCATTATTCTTCTTTAAAGCGTTGCAATGTAACACCCGGCTCCCCTCTTCCATTACTTTTCCCTGGTAGCGTGCCATACAACCGTGCCCGCACTGTTGACCCAACGCACCCTGCCACTCGGTGGAAAGCCCACGCGTTTCCGCATTTCTCCTGCCCTGCATTCATGCTGCGCGCTGTACCCAAGGGTGCGCTTCTGCGCCCAGAATTTGAGAGGCGCTTACCTCAGATTGAGCGCTCTGCCATGGTACCGCGGGGGGAACGGAAGGACGGTTCCAAGAAACTAGATATGAGCATGGTCTTCATGATTTCGAAAAAGAAGACGAACAAAAGGGCAGTGGTGCGCAACAGGATCGCGATGCGCATCAGGTCCGCTTTTGAGCTCATTGTTACTCGAGGTGCTGATGCTGAGCCGAAAGAGAATGTCAAAGACAGACATCTGGGCAAGAAGTGTGGGCCTGAAGAATCCTCGAGTGTCGTTAGGAAGCCGAAGAAAAAACTTGATCGTTCGAATCGCGAGTTAAAGCTTGCCAGCTTAGCATCGTCGATCACCCCGTCTAATCTGGGCTTGATATCGAATCCTGCGCCCACCAGGCATCTAATCCTTCAAGGTACGTCATGAGAGCAATATTCATTTGCCTTTCTTCTTACATGGACAAAGATTGGACATATGTTATGTCGCCTTCTCTCCTGAGTTACCGCATGCCACTCCCCGATCTTATACAACATCTCCGTGCAGGCCTCGAGAGCATTCGAGCGCAGTCAATGAAGCTCGATGTGCAGTGGGCATTGGACAAGAAACTAACAATTGACCCGCCGTTGGCCAATATCACAAACCAAGAACCTGAGGTGGACTGGCGGCACATCGCAACTGACGAAAACGATACTCCTGCGTTATTTAACCTTGATGAGCCCGAGCATGGTCTCCTCAAGGCGGGAAAACCCATCAATCCTCAGAAACAGCCCATCAAGCTGTTTTTCCCGACACCACCATCGTCTGGAGAGTCGTCTTCTACCTGTGTTGAAGATGATCGGCTTGTCACTTCCCACAGATCTGTCGATACGCCCATGCGGTTGGCTTCACCGGCAAATCGGCCAGGTCATCAATCTTCTGGTTCTATTTCTGATTCTTCGAAACCTACCCTACGTGCTCCGTCCACATTTAGAATAGGCGCAATCGAACGTCTTGCGACCGTAAAGAACCAGCCCCTGGTTGTACCTGGTCGCAAAGCAAAACGAAGACTCTCTTAGAGGGGAGCTAGTGCAGAAATTGCGGATATCGATAGATAGATTACCCAGATTAATACGGCCGCATGTACACCATTTGGAACGCAGTCAACTTACCAAGAAACGCGCAATGGTGCCGAACAGACTTGGATGACCCTATCGCAACAAATATCCTATTTATTTATTCCCTCCTCAGCTGGGGTGTCCACGTCATTCCACATACACACATCACCGTTCACACCTCACAAACCGTACCCCGTTCGCAATTTTACGTCATCGGCAACTTATTCAACGTCTTCAGGAGCGCCACAAACACCGCCAAGACGGTGATGCCCTAAATCAATTGCCAACTAGTTCGCCAGCTTTGTGCCTGGCGTACATAGTTCAGACGAGTTAGTCTGAAAGTTTATGACCGTTTCGGGCCAGTGACATGACTAATCTACAAGTCAGGTCCCGCCTGCGTAACTGCGACTGGGTACGAGTGATGTAGTGCCAGTCTCGATCTCTATATCATCCAGGGTTTCAGGTCTCCATACAATCGAGTCCAGCTTGCTCGACTCCACCATCCAGACATTCTCCGTTTTCTTTGTCACCTTCTCTGTCGTCTACCAGAGTGATATTTTTACTGACACATTATTTTCTCCATGTGTTGTGGTTTTGTTTTCGGTGCGAGTTATCTTTTACAAATATCTTCCAAAGAACGTATTTTGGTTTGCCTATGGAGAATTATCCAGTCACATAATGTCGTGATGTAGGTGAATTTAGCCTGATGACGCTTGCTCACTGCTTTCTTATCAGGCATTTTGTGGCCGAATGTTTGACACAAGTACTATATAAAGAGGTCACGATGCTTGGGCCTGGCTACTGACGCCTCTCTTCGGAGGAATCGCTGGCTATATAGTCGACTCTCTCAGCTCTTTCCATCGGCATACTCGAGTGGTTCATTCTTATTAGCCTCGTTGTTTTCCGAGAGTCTATGGCATACCCGTCAGTGTCTCCGGTCCCAAAACATTTACCATGTTCAGCTCCCTCCAATACATCACAGACAATTTACTCTGGTCACTGTGACACAAATGTTAACGGAGATGTATGTGCGAAACGACCTCGACTCTACCTCGCTTCACTTTTCGAATTTTATTATCAGACCAGTAGAAGCAGCCGCTGTTGGTAGCTCTTACCACTCTGACTGTTCAATCAAGCGTTGTAAGGCGTAATCCTATATTTCAAAGGTGTGAATTGCCATCGCCTCTACGTCGGTGGCTTATTATCTCCAGAAAAGTATGAAGAATAGTCCGTGCGTGAATAAGTATGATGTGAGGGTATGTACTGAAAGAATTACATCATAAGAACTAGGGCTGTGTTGAAATAGCGAAGCAGTATTGGAACAAGATTCGCTGTTAAGCCTAAGCGGGAATCTTCATGAAAGACGCGAAATACGCATCAAGGACCTCAACGCGATCCAGTGGCGCGATGGCTCCAACATAGCCATCAGGACGAACAGCAACCAGCGCTCCCTCAGATCCCACTCCAAAATACGAGTAACCTTCTCCCCCAAAGCTACCAGTGGGATCGGTGTCATCGACAAACACCCTAAGAGCACCTCGATCAATATCATCACACTTGACAAATATGAGCAAGCACTCACTTCGACCAATGAGAGCGAAGAAGCGTAGGAAGCTGCAAGAGGTCAAATTTGTCCTTCCGGTCTTTGCTGATCGTAATGACGTCGAATCGCGAGTCCCCAGGGGTCGCGTAACGGTTCAGGAAGCTATGAGGTTTCTGCATGTCCGCAACCATAGACTCGACCCTCGCTTGCTGAAGCGGATCGCTGAATTCACCGGTGAACACAAGTAACTTGAAGAGGGAGTCTGAAGGAAGCAGGTCCTGGAGCTCGAATGGCCTTGCGTCTGCTGCCCGCATGAATTTGTATGGAGGGACGCGTTTCCCGAGGACGAGACCACCAGCCAGCTCCTGGTATGCGTCATTTACTACAACTGAAGGGTGATAATGTACCCCAATTCCACTGGTGAAATCTGTTTGGAAAGTCCTACAAACTCACGGGATTAGTAACAGGAAAAGACTGTTGGTAAAATAATGTTACTTCAATAGCTGCTCGGGTGAAACCCCATCACTGTTCTGCCCGGTCAAGGGCTTGCCGCAGACAAGGGTAGACCACGTTTTATCAAACGCAATCAGTTCTGATGCAAATTTGTGGCGCTCTGATTCGTACTATCGGTGGAATGTGAGCAAGCAGTCAAATAGCTGCACAAGAACGAGCTTGCCGTTGACAAAAGGGACATATCTGCCCACCCACGAACAACTTGGGCAATTTTCCAAGCTGAAAAAGCGATTTAGCTCGATCGTGAGAGCAGGAACGGAAGACATACCTAGATTATGACTATCGTTTATACTTGCGTTCATTCCTTGTCCTGGAAATTCCATTGTAACCAGACCAGGGGGAGGGGCCAGATGTAAGACGCATACCTGCTTTCGGTGTGTGTGTATGGCAAGCATCGCCAGCAATAAATACTCGATTGTTGATGGAAAACTTCGAGGCCACTCGTTGTCCAACTTGAGTAGAGATGTCAAATGAACACGAATTCATAGCAAGTGGTAAGGCGCGTACCGCTATATATGGTCCACCACAAAAATTCACCCGTAAGCTTGTAAGGTTCGAGCGATTTCTGGGCGGTCTAAAGGGAATATTGATGAATGCTGACTATTGTATGATAATGGATGCCGCTTACTTTAAAAATATGATCTGGACCCATTCTATCCTTGTCCACCCTGCCTGTCACTGGATCGATGACATCTTTCTCTTCCAGTTGCACATATAAGCGAACGAGATCCTTTTCTCGAGGAATGACAAAAACTGAGCCATGGTTGGATTGTGCAAGGCACTTATTCCTGATATCCGGGAAGTCAGTGTCAGGAACAAGGTCCATGACACCCCAGATGGAATCTATCGATCGAGAGTGAGCTTGCTGAGAATTCGAAGTGATAAACATTCTTACCAGATTGTTCTCCATCCATAGTGATATCGAATTGTTTGCGGGTCCATGAGTGAGCGCCTACCAAGGTAAATGACTATATTGGTAAGAGGAGCGTTTTCAGAGCGTACCATCACCACCGAGAACAAATTTAGCGTGAACAATTTCTTCTGGTTGTTCACCCTCGGATTCGTCAAGTCTTTGGAGCGCAACGCGAACTGGATATGATGTAGGATCGGCCAATTCGTCTTCATCCTTAGAGAGCTCTATCGAAGTCGGCATGGTCGATCGTTCGACCTCAACACCAAGCGATGTCATGGAATCTAGGAAAATGTCTTGAATAGCTGCTTGATTGAGCGTAGCCTTGATCTCATTCAGCTGATATAATTCCTGTCATATTTATGAACGCACCTCGAATGGGTATCTTGCAGACGGTGCTGTCACATTTAATGTTCTGTTGGTAAGCTAATGGCGGAAATTCAGTGAGCATCCTTCGTCGATAGCGGAATTCACGAACCTCTATGCCGCCGGTCGAAGAAGGGTTGTAGAATGCCTAAGATGTAATGAGCCACAACATATCCTGCAAGCCCGTCTTAAAAGGCGTACCGCTAGATGGATTTGGCAACACTCCTTCAGAAGGCGCTCTGCAAGTCCATAACTCTATGTCCAGCTTGTTAATATCGAGTCTTATTCAATCAGCAAGGAAGCATCTTCACCTGTAAAAGTTCAATAGTGCGAGGTGAAATTCCATCACCATTCCCAGCGGCTATTTTGGAGGCCCTAACGGAACGTTGAGTTAAAAGCAGGAATGGAAAAGTCGACCCACTGACCTTTGGTCGACGATGCGGACATTCACTTTTGCATTTGCGAGGGCATTCGCGCACATGAGACCAGCAGGGCCAGCGCCAATAATGAGAACGTCGACTTCAGAGTGACGTACGGACGGAACAGACATTGAGAAAGAACTATAACTTAGTAATGGGAGTGTAGAGGAATGCGTCTTGGTACAGGGGATGCAGGTCTACAGTCCTCAAGAGAGCGTTCTTAAAGATGCTAGAGTGGTAGAATAAATAGAAATCAGTAAGCCCACAGTACTGTTCCTAGAACCATGGTAGCTACTACTACTTGCGAGTAAGACCAAAGCGATCACAGCTAAGGTTGATTTAGACACGGATACTACCAGTGATCTAGATGGCAATAATGCATCATTCTGCAGACGGCCATCGTGATGTGGTGGTGTGATCTGGGGCTGTGGTGTAAGGTATTCAATTGCACTGACCCTACTAGAATGGAGCCAACCGAATTTCTTCACTCAGGAACACTACATGGTCAAATAAAGTAACTTGCCGTGCTGAATTCTTAAGCTGTCAATTTTACATAACACAGTTAATATGCCAAATGATATAGATTTATCTGGCTGAAGTACCGTAGGGTTGTTGTATAAGCTGCTCGATTATGATGATTATTTTCAACCCGTAGTACTGGCATGTAGTGCTACACTAAAATTGTTGTGTACTATTTGGAAAGACAATGTTTAGGACAGTACTGCTGCATGGCTTCACGGACCGGCGCTGATTATCTTGGCAATATTAATTTAGTAGCTTATGTCTGATCATATGTTGTTTGGCTGGCGACTTGACTAATAATTGACTCATTTTGAATTTTATATGGCCATCTCAAGACTCAAAGACTATCTCACGTGATACCTCCATCACACGCTTGTGTATCCAAATTATTCATAGGTGTCGGAAATTCGGAATGTATCAATATTGGTATTTCGCAGGGCTGCCGTTTAGATGCCAAGCAGTCATTCTCGCTGCAACCCTCGTTGACAGCCCTTGCTCCGCATGAGATCCGCGTGTTGTGACCGACCAGAGCGTATCTTATGATGAGATGCTTCTAGGTGTAAATGAACTGTATCAGGAAGACTTTTCGTATGTCGCTCTAATTTTAAACGCTGTCCTAGGTCAATCAACGGAACATGCCAGCGAAGAATTCAATTGGCCTGAGTAACTTTTGCAGTTGGGAGGCAAG